AAACACTCTGTGTTATAGAGCGACCAATTATTACCTTTTGAACGAATCTGTACGTGATCTATCCAGACAGGATAGAATAACATTTATTTGTGGTGATTGTTTAGATTTGATCAATTGAACAATTATTGGTTGGATAGCTGAGTGGTTATATTTGTTTAGAACCGTCATCTTACCCAATTACTTTGTTTTGGTTTCAATCAGGCGAGGGCGCGTATCTGACTCATCCAGACAGCTGTCCTTCACTCCAAACCGTAGTTTGGAGCTTACAAGCACTACTTCGATATTACTCATCCAAATGCATTAGATTTTTTTAATAATTTGGTCAGTGATTGCAGATTCTATTTACAGAAATTTATTCGCAATCTCTATAACAGACACATTATAAATTCGTATCCACTAACAACATAGTTCAGTCACTATATTTGAAACATACATGCATCGTTTTACTTATGATGAATATGTCCCTATTAATATAAAACTGTGATGTTATATGCAGATCCTGTATATGTTCATAAAAATGGAAAAAACGATTATCAACGTTAACCATTTCTCACATAAATTTTTTTTCTCAGATAAGAGATAGGCACGACAGCATTATGTCAGTTCCGTAAAAAATAATGATACTTTTAATGGTTGGAACTATTTATGCTTAAGTACGACCAACGTATAATGTTAAAAAATAGTTTAACTCAGAATTGCTTCAACCTGCAGTTACTAAAAAACTACTAGTCATTCACGTTTATCAACATCCTTAGGGTGGTGAATCAAATATTAAAGTTGGAACTTATGTTTGCTTAAGAAATCTGACTGTGAGTTAATAAATAGTGTATTTTACTTGCTTGAGTACAAATCGTTATAAATAGCCACATTAAGTTGACTTAAAATTCACTCAGGTAGTAAACAACTCTGTCAAACTACTAATGAACCAAGACAGAATTCAAATGGATCACAATTAGTAGTCAATGTTATTTTGCTAAAATGCCGGAGGAATGGTGGCTATCATTTAGATAGTGGTAACTTACATGCAGTTTATATATTTTTCATGCGATTTTGTTAGAAGGGCATCATTGAGCAGTTTTGTGTCAGCGAATGTTCCAAGCCCATTCATAGCCCGAAGATAAATATATTCTTCAAAATAGCGGTCAAGTTATTGGTCGTCATTTTCATATTGGTAGTTGGAGGGAGGTTTCGGTCTTATTCTACTCTTATTTCTTTCAGAATCTTAAAGCCTAATATGCCTGTCAGCAGGTACGCTTTTCCAAAAGCCTAATCTAGCGCTATTACTAAGGGTACAACGATTCATCAAAAGATGTCGTTATTATCTCTCCTGGCAGGAATCTCACAACTTTCAGGTATTAACGACTGGAACGTTCGCACATATTTTGTGCATTCTCTTTAGAGTGTAGTGACTCACATTTATCACGAGAACACGACTGGTTTAATAAAAACAATTATTATTACGACCAACTGTACCAGTGTTTGTTCTAATGTGCTTTTGTTTGACTGTGCTAATGACAGCTATTTTGTGCTTCCATTCTTATACTTACACTTCGATTGTAACTTCGCGCGAATTCGGTTACCTTCTGTAACCAAGGTTGTATCCTGGCACGATCTCGGTATCCTTTCGATGCCACGAGATCGCCAGCAAATATAACTCGACTTGGTCCATCACTTGCCTTCTGGTATTTGGCTTCTCGGGGATTTTATGGATCTATTTGGTCACGTCCAACCTTCGCCTTCTGATCTACTTGGCACGTGTTTCTTTGTAGCGGTGTTCATAATTATTCTTAACTCGACGCCACACTACAATTGGTGACCCGTATTTTGGAACACGCCTCAGCTTCTGGTCAAATCTTCCAAAGAAGCCAATTCGGTGTCTATGATTTATCTATCCACGTCTGTCGTATATTTTCATATTTTTTAATATATAATATACTCGACATGACGAATAACGATAAGAATAGTATTAATATAATAGACTCACATGTATGTGTACCGAATCCTTGTTACTTTTTATTCGCGTGACGATGAATTCCACGCTTTATTCGAGAAAATTTCCCCTATTAACTATTCTCCTCGCTGATCCGGCTGCTTGGTACGGAATGCATTCGCATACGCATTAACGTCTACCTCCCAGCATCAAATGGTTAACTTGAACGGTTTCACTACCAACTTAAAAGTGCTCTACGAGCACACGAGAACGACAACTGGTACGAAACCTTATCGCTCGTCCTCTTAGGTATTCGAACGAGCTTGAAGGCAGATATCCAATGTTCCGCCGCTGAACTGGTATACGGCACGACATTGCGTCTGCCCGGAGAATTCTCCACACCACGGAGCAGACCTAATTTCGGTAAATCAGACTACGTCCATCGATTGTCTGCATTTATGCGAACGCTGTCTCCGATGTCAACTCAAATACAACATCGACAGGTCGCTCTCCCTCGAGAGTTATCTACCCGTACACGTGTTTTCATATGAGTAGATTCGGTACGCAAACCTTTGCAACAACCTTACGAAGGCCCTTTTCACGTGATCGCTCGTCACGAAAAGACCTTCAAGGTTGACCGACATGGCCGCGTCGAACTCGTCAGCATTGATCGTCTCAAACCAGCACACGTCGATGACAGTGCCCTATCTGATAACCTGAGATTCAATGCTAGACCTATCAAACCTACTAGCGGGATCCTTAAACCTTATTCAGGTCCCACGCTAGATACATCTGAGACCTCATTCTCACGTCCCGGTCAACAGCACGCGTCATCTGCACCGTCTACGGATGAGACGACAGTCTCACGCCCAGATCAGCAGACCACGCCACCCTTGACCTTGGATGAGATTGCAGGCTCACGAGATATGAACGAGACTGCTGTCTCACGTTCCGGTCGCCGAGTACGGTTGCCCGTACGCTTCCGCGACTAGCCGCACAGTTAACAAACGATACGATGTAGGGTTATTTCTATACTACACGCACGCTACACTCTTCTCTTTTTTGATTTTCTTTTTGTTTCCTGAGCCCCCGCCTTCGACCATCTCCGTTTGGTTCCGTCGACTTCAGTCAACTTTGGCGAAAGCTGGCCTGATCACCCATGCTCTTGTCAACGCACTCAGTCGATATTTTGGTTTCGAATGCTTGGCATACGCTTGGTCTCGAACTTGATCGTTATGGTGGCTTCTGGTCTCTTGGCTCAACGTGGTTTCGTCCTACGTCTGCAGCGTTTCTGCTCCGCATTCCCTACGAACGCCCTCTTCAGATTCTGGATACAAACCACTCTCGTGTAGCATGCCGACTCAAGCAACAAATACAGCACATCGCTCCTGGTACTGTTCTCCGAAAACGACCTTCGTTGGCAACTCGACGATCAACGATCGCTTTTCTGTTCGCCAATTCATCCATCCTACAATCGCTCGTCAGCCGATCAGTCCCACGATTTAAACCGCTACTTGTCGAAAGTGTAAACCCTTTTTTAGCGGGAGGCTCCTGTAGTGACTCACATTCATCACGAGAACACGACTGGTTTAATAAAAACAATTATTATTATAACCAACTGTACCAGTGTTTGTTTTAACGTGCTTTTGTTTGACTGTGCTAATGACAGCTATTTTGTGCTTCCATTCTTATACTTACACTTCGATTGTAACTTCGCGCGAATTCGGTTACCTTCTGTAACCAAGGTTGTATCCTGGCACGATCTCGGTATCCTTTCGATGCCACGAGATCGCCAGCAAATATAACTCGACTTGGTCCATTAATTGCCTTCTGGTATTTGGCTTCTCGGGGATTTTATGGATTTATTTGGTTACGTCCAACCTTCGCCTTCTGATCAACTTGGCACGTGTTTCTTTGTAGCGGTGTTCAAAGTTAATCCCAATTCGACACCAGGCTACAAGAGGTATGCTCCAAAGAAATGCCTTGTTGAGTTTTCGTTAGCCATGGATCAAAAAATGTCCTGATGTGACAAAAACACTGTGGGCGATTTGATACATCATGACTACATGCTACGCAATATTTCTGTACTATACTAGTCCCAATATAAAACTGGCAAAAGGAATAACTAATGTATTACAGTTCAAGTACCTTTAGGTTACCACCCTTTCAGCTATTTCCGAAAATCTGGTGTTCTCACTGGGTCAGCTGGTCTTCTTCTCAAATAAATTTTTTATTAGATATTGAATACTATTCTAAATAGTTTGGGTGTCTGGCTGTAGAATGAACTTTACTACAGCGTAGGTATTATTAGGAAGTGTTATACTGGAACGATCTGAAGAGTGCAAAGTAAACTGATATTAGGACGGATCGGATATCGGAGAATTGGGAAGTACTGGTACTTGAATCACATGTCACAAGAGAATCCAAAACCGTTCACCACTGTTTACCATTAGCGTTCTGAATTGATGACATATGGGAGACTGTTCTCATTAGATGTAATCAAAAGTATGAAGCCATTCCTTAAAACATATTCTGAAGTTAAAAAAGTCGTCTTTCTTCTAGGAACTGACCATGAAAACATTGAGTTGTGTTTACAGTTGCGCGACCTAGGATCTCAATATAATATGCCGCAAGATTCGAAATACTTGCTAATTAGGTACTCATCTGTGGTTTTGAGGAATTTGAGGATATTGAACTATGATTTTGACACACACAACGTTCCTAAACAAGCAGATTCATTTTCGTAAGTTAAAGGCTCGCCAAATAAACTACTGAAGGTCTTTTTTCAAAATATCCCGCAAAGCGGAGTTTATACATATACTCCACTTCTTATTTCGGACTCTAAACCCTGTGAAATATGACACGGAGTTAAGGTATTAACCAAGTAATTATATAATCCATAAAGGGCGTTTCTAGGGCCTAAATCTGATGTTGGGTTCAAGAATGCGACTTACCGTTGGTTACGCATTTTGTCAGCTGAGGTGCGTTTATTTCCATTTAACGTAGGTAGTTTCCTAAAGTGATCTCCAACTTTTTCGCCACTTGGGGTTGCCCTGCTGGTATTGGCGTTATGCGTCTTCTGGCTAATCTATCTTCCTACGTCTTAGTAATTTCAAACGGCATGTTATCCTTCAACAAACAAATCATGGAAAATGACCCTAACTGTGAATGGGTGTCATTCAACTCTATAGGAATTGTTCAGCGCAATCTAAAACGTTCACTTTCCCACATTATTTCGGAAGATCTGCTCCAAAGGTTAGTTTGGAATATTTGGATTAACTACTCAGTACTATCGTAGTGCTTAAGTGATTAATTTAAACATATTACTCCCACCCATTGTATAAAATCTGATCGTTTTCACTTCCAGGCGTTTAGATGGTGTATACTCCCTACAGATTGTGGTTCAGACGAAATACATGAGCATTTACGTAATAACTAATTTTATTAACTGATAAGTTAAAATTAACAATCGTAGCTATGTCTATAACCGTCAGCTAATAAGGAGAGGAAGTAGCAATTATAACATGCAGTTTCTAGCGTTCAGCTTCTGGTTAACGAACAACACAAGCAGCACTGAATGACGGACTACATACATATATACTAATAATCTTTATTTTTAAAAGACCTAATATTCTACAGCGTTCAAATACAACGTTTTCTCCTGTATGGAGTGTAAAACCACATTCATCCGATGACACCTTTCTTTGTCTAGTTTTATATAACATATTAGGCTTCAGTATGCTGCGGTTTAATTTAGATTTTTTTTCTACACAAATTCTATTTCCTTCTATAGCTCGAATTTTAGTTACTTTTATAAGACGTTCGAACAGCAATATAACTCTGAGTTGCTACACTTCACTCCAGCAAAATCAGAAGGATGACTTGTAAAATTAAGGTGACAAGTACAAAGTTTCAATTTTCGAATGATGGAATCACCTACACGTATATATCTGTACGATCCTTGTCCTGTAAACTAGCTTTTACTGACTTACCACACTAACTTGTGTAAAACGTGTGAGATTAATACATTTATAGCTTGTCTCACGAAATTCAACTTGTCTTTCTCACTTGCTTTCTCTTAACACCACTATCACGCACTCAATGTTACTATTGCTTTATCCTTTGGTAATTTCGATAGTAGGAGTACTTTACATTAAAATTATTATAAATCGTGGTATGCTCTACGAATTCTTTGACTAAAGGGAACTTCAAAAAGGATCTGAAGCTCTGGATGTTGAAGTTCAGCATGCATCAGAAGAAATTTTGAAATTCAAGCAGCTCATTGTTTCAGATTTCGATTTACGAAATAATATGTAAGTTAACTTCATTGAATAGTTATTTACGTGTCAGCACTTTTCTTATCGCGCTGCGTATTCTCAAATGTTTTTTTCCAGTTATTACACCATTTTCCGCATATCCAAAGTTTGGAACATTGGATTCTATAACTTTTGCGCCACTCGCAACAGGTGTTCACAACTATACTTTAGTACTACGTAGTTTTAGCCAATAGAAAATGTTTCCAGTAAGCCACATATATTCTCGGTTATCCTATTTGAATAAGTACGTTGTACAGCTAATCTGTAGTTAAGCAATAAGCAATACCGTTCATTAGTTTCGACATGTAGCATTTCACCACAAAATATGGGGTTCGTTTCCCGGGTGAGTATTTTGCATTATAACTGAATGCAGTGGTGGCTTAGAGATTAAGCAAGTTACTTTTCAACAAGCAGGTGACTGATTCAAACTGCACTTCAGGTAACCAGATAGTCTTTCTATCCCTTATATAACATGGCTCAAAACTGAGTGCATAAATTTGTGCTCGGTAAAGAAGTTACACTTTGTGTCAAGTTATACTCCATCGTTGGAACACAGCTGTTTTGAAATGTGCTAGATGTGCCTAGATTACAACTGCAATCCGTGATATATATGCTAGAATAATCTTGATCCTGTTAGGTAAAACGTTCCGTTGGTATCACACCTGTTTATCTGGTGGTTATTTTTCACCCATGGTTTTTGTTTTGCAAAACTTGACCACACTGTTATTCTGCAACATTGAAAGTATCTTGGGTTCGCCACTGATACAGCATCCAAAGATCAGGCCTAACAGTCCGACCTTGATCGGTTGAATGACTGACCCACAAGCTAATTTATTTCAATCGCCTATGACATTTTATCATGTTTATTGTGTTCATATTTTGTATATAAGCATGTTATTTCCTTACATAGAAGCTCATCGAGCCATTGGTCTTGTCTCTGGTTTGTAATCATTCAGAGGCCTAAATCAATTATGCGATCTTGTGAGTAACTGTCAGCTAGTTAAATTATATCATAGCGTTCATCTGTCGATCAGCATTCTATTAGTCGATTGTTATGGTTTAAATATCGTGTGGTCAAAACATACTAAACCTCTCCCATAACATCCACTCACCGTCAGGGATAAATTGTTGTAGGTAGTAAATATTCCTCTATATCTAGCTATGTGTCTTATTAGTGATGTGATTAATGGAGCCAGTTTTCGTGTTACAAAAGCTAAAATGACATGCTAGCTTGTACAGAATCCGCTGAGATGGTAATATGGTTGTAGCAGTATAGGTTCATACTTTTTCTCTCGAGGTAAGAAGTCCGACACTTTATCCGTAAAACATGGTCTTTTCCGGCTGGTGTATTTAAGAACTTCTCTTCGCTCGCTTATTTTTGTCTTTTGTGTAGTGGTTGACTGCAGTCCAGATTTTTGAGTATATCTGGTCACGGTGATGACAACTGTTTGATCGACGGCCATCTTAAAATACGGGCTTGAGTAAATTTTCGGTTTTATGTTTAAATTTTCATTTATTTCCACAGTAAATACTGTTCCTCGACATTGAAAGTAGACGTAAGAAGTGAAGGTATCGTCAGTTTATGACATGGGCTCGTAGGTCATCACTGTTCGGTATAGTGAGTTACGTAAATCATATGAATCAATAGCCTAAGCGATCGTTATTAATGGGAATCGACTCCGGTTTCTGATCTACAATTTTTTAAATCAAATTTGAACACTTAAACGTTACTCAAGTGCTTTTTATCCATGTTGTCTTCTATGCCTTTCTCTTTATAAGGTTGTATTGTTTTATGCGGCTTTTTTGTGTTCAATATATCAAGCGTTTTGATAGTTGTTGATTACCAATAATCTACGAATTCTATTGAAATAAAGTTGATTATTAGCATAATCTTGTGACGTCGTAAGTTAGTTATTTTTATCGCTTTCTTTACGTAAATCAAGTCTTACTCTTTGATCATAGGAACGATACCCAATTGTTTTCTCTTTGTTCTGATAAAACCATTGGACTCCCGGACGAACTAATTGCTTATCAATTGGAGTTAACAAAAAAAGTAATCTTTTTTCCATCTTGTTCATGTACTGTTTTTTTTCCTGGGAAATATTTTGTTCTTACTTTGATCATGTTCAGAAAATGCCTTACATCATTCCTAATCGATCTGAAGAAGATACGTTGTGGTTAAAATGTCTTGTAACCGTAGATTTTATTAAAAGTATAATCAGGCAGCAATTTAGTTTTACCATACGTTAGATAAAGCCGAAAAAACGTAATCTAATAATAATCACAGAATTTTATCAGTCCAAGTTGTTATTCTTTCAGCTGCTCAAAACGGTTATGTTTAGATATAAATAAAACAAATCGAGGAAATATAAGGGTAGGTTTGAAAAAATACCTTTTTAATAACAGGATATCTAAAATTTAAGTTAAACTAAGAATCAAACGCATATGCTCTACCGTGTCCTTTAAATAATCCTTATTAAAATGTCTTGAAACCCAATTACGAAGTTTTTATCTGTCCACAGTACACAAACCAACATTAATTAACTTTATTTTTCGGTTACTTATCCTAACCTGACAGCCACTAAATAACTTGTTCTTCATACCGAGTAGGTCCTTTTGGGGTTCTCAATATACTGTTAATCTGTTTAAGTGCTCTTAGAAGTTTGCCTTGGACGTAATGATATTTACTTTTTTCTCGGGAAATAACTCATTTCATGACTAGACGGGAAATGTTTGAATTGTTCGTACATAAAATCGATAAGTGTGTATCTTTTCAACATACAATATATGTGTCTGACATCTACGGTATGATTCTTTGTCAGTGTGTTGAAAACATATTGAGTCGTTGTTATCCCAGTGTTATTGCTTCTGTGACTGACTTATGTACATGAATAAAACTGTTCGTGTCATCTAGGATTCTATGTGTATGGTAAAAATGACCAAATCACACATCTTTTTTGATCAAGAATAACTTCGGGAATATTTTGTTTAAATTCAATGGAGTCAGAGTGAGCACAACTCTAGAACCGCACCTGGTGTCATAAAATGGTGTGACCTACACGTTATAGTTGCAGCCAAACATGTCGGTTTTGTCTTATTCATAGGTATTAGTAAATCAGATGTGTATATTTTATAGTTAATTCCACGGAAAGACTGGTTAGAGAATCATTGGAAAACAAGTAGCACTGGATATCTATTTCATCCTGATACAAAACTCCTAAACTGCAACTGTCCACGGCTCCTTCGTTGATTGAGTCAGGGATCTTCAAGTCTGTCAGTGGATAGTTAACCTTAAGACTCCTAAGCCAGAATCCAATGACTTGCATTTGTAATTAAGACCAGTCGGTGATATAAGCTCTCGAATCCAATAATCTGCAAAGATCTAACATGCTAAATGTGTAAGGTTTCCAGTCGGTATCCAATTTATATATATATATATATATATATATAATTTTTAGTGGCAATGCTCTCAATTATGTATGTATAACCAAAAAATTCCTAATTTATATCGACTAAGCAACATTAGTGTTCATTACTGAGCATCGTATGGTTGCCTACTAATCTTCGGTAAATCTTTGGTACAGTCTACATTAGTAACAAAAAATTACTCTTAAAATGTATACTACTTATAGTAGTATGCTTGTTGTTGTTAGTTTTAATACCATACACTTATTTTCGCACCTGCTATTAAAAGTAAGAAGGTAAAATAGAGCTACTAGCTTAAATGATATCTTCATAAGACATTCGCAAATATTTTAGAGGGTTGATCACACAACATATCTTAACGTAGTTAACACTGATTTTATTTTCGTTATTTGTGCTGCGAAACAATTTTAACATAACTATGATTGATGGTTTATTCAGTTTGTCTTGCGAATCAAGTTTGTGATACGTGTTCCTGGGTAGCGATATTTTCCAGCTTAAAATAAATTTAAGGGAGACTTATGAGCCAAATTATCTAAGTCTTTATGTTTCGTTACGTTATTTATTATTTATTTGAACACATACATATTGGTACAAGAGTGAGCCAAATATTTATGCGCCACACAATGAGAATTTAAAGAGAAGGAAAAAGAAAAAAAAGGTAAGGAGGATAAAAGAAAAGAACAATAAGGAAGAGATTGGTGTAAGGTAGTGTAATAATAATAGTGGTAATAATGGGGGAACGGAAAGGTACAATCAGAAGAAATCCTTTAGTTAAGGGAGATACAACCATTTTTATGAAGTAAAAGAAGGTTACAGCAGGATCGCCACTGGCTTCTATTCTGAGCCATATCTGATAACGTCTCAAGCCACTGTTGCACCTTCTCTCGGGCCCCGGCCAGGGATTTGTGAAGGACCAACAGAAGCCAGCCCTTTGTAGCTTTCTTTCATGCCACGACACTGTCATACGCCGACCACCTCTCCGCTTTTTCCAACCAGTCCCAGCGTTGGTAAATAATGCACGACGTGGAATTCTCTGGGACAACATTCGTAGAACATGTCGAAGTCACCGAAGTCGGTGTTTCAAGGTGGTGACACCAATTGCATTATCGTCTCTGTGCCCAAACACACGATGCCGAACCTCTGCATTACTAGCATGGTGTTGCCACTGGATGTCAACAATCTGTTACGTAATCTGATCCCAATAAATGTTGAGTCCAAATTTCGGGAATTCTGCTGATAAATGATTCTACAGCTTTTCATCTAAAATATACAGCTCAATAATGCTTTATAAAATCTATATTTCTAGGAAATTGCTTTGTAATAGATCTATCAAACATCGATTTACGTCGAGTGATTACTTAGTAGTTCACAGTTTTATTCCTTACGATTGGTTATTCAACATTAATTCATTGCTGTACTGTTATTCAATGCAGCATTATTTTATGTTCAAGTCTTTTTTTCTCCGACCAAATAATTTATTTTTGATCCGTTCTTTGAACTATTTCTAGGTATCCACTTTGAAACAGCAAATTAAAACCTACTTAGACAGACACAAGCCGTCTTTACTGCAGTTTAACAATATACTGGATAGTTTAAATGATCATAAACCGTTTACTCTAAATGGTTCCAAGATGAGATTTCTACAGTCAGGAAACATATTGTCATCATATTTAAATGACGATACCAAGGTACACACTTTAATTAGTCAATTTTCTGAATCTAGTTATGAAAGTTTTGTTATCTTTTCCTACTTATTTTTTTGATGTACTTAAACGTTTAGTTAACTGACCCTTCAACATCCAATTGTCCACGAGGTCAATGTGCTTAACGTTAAAATGCGACTCCATATATCGTGAGCTGTAGTGTGATGTGGATCACATTTTAAGGCTTTAAGCGCCAACACCTTAGGATACCTGTTAGTTGAGTTTGGTTATTTAAGATTTTAGTTTCTGGCGGATTATTACTGATGAAAAAACACTGTACCGTTTAAAGCATTCTATTCGTTATATATGACGGTTTGTTTAGCGTTTGCTATAAGTATATCTGAGCGGTAAATCAGTAGTTAGTGTTCAGATTTCAGTCACTGGGTCACAGGTTCACATCCCACTTCACCTACTTCAATGTAGGCAGCTGAGTAGTATCAGTAGTCCTCACACTTAATGTTACTTAAAGCCCAGTACACAAATTTGTATCTGGACAAAGAATTATATTAGTTAACGCGTAGACTTCCTTTCAAATTAAATTGACCGCAAGGGCGAATATTTTAACCAGGATTACATTTAACTTCTAAATATATGACTAAACGATGCAATTTATTGAAAAATATTAAAATTCGTTGGACCGAATTCTATTCTAATTATTCTCTTCATATGGTCAATTCAATAACCACATAATTTGAAGCTGTAGTGACAGTTTACACTTACAATCCATATGACTAACTTTCATTAATTTAAACTTAAAATTATTTTATTTATGTAACCTTCATGCATGGAATTAACTTTTTCCTAATCCTTATCAATTTTATATCTCTTTATAAGTAGTCTTTCAATGATTTAAAACGTTTAAATATCGATGTTATCATTTGTCATTTGATTGCCGCTTATTGTTGTTTTCATAAATTATTTTAGTCCCATGTTTTTAAGACTCAGGTAAGAAAATGTTGCGTTAAAAAATATTTTTTCCTAAAGAATTTGTGCTATGATAATAACAACTAATTCTCAATGTCACTACCGTGCTTCGGTTTAGGCACCCGGTCAGTATTCCAACCCTCACACAAATCGAATCATTTATGTGGCGCATATTTGTTTGGTACCTCCTTGTACCAATGTTTATTTTTTTTAAATAAATAAATACTGTCATTACACATTCATAAGGAAATATTTCATTTTATAGGCTACAGTTTCAAGCGAGCTGTGCGTTTTTATAACTGGTAAATTTAATTCCTTTTTTGCATATGACTCAGTAAGGTCTGTTTATTCAGAGTAGCTTTTACTGCAACGGACGGTTAAATTGTTCATCTACCCAAAAACGGCTTCCAAAAATGTATATCAATTCAAGTTCCCACACAATAGCACGACAAGATGAAATTGACAAGGTTTCTAGCAAAAGATTCGAAGCACTATTAGTATCTGCGGTAATGAAAGGAATTAAGCACTGGATATTACTATGGGTGGTGGCTAGCAGTGGAATCCAGGACTTGCTTTTCGTCCTATCTTGGACTCATCGACTGCATGTCCTTGCATCCCAGAGTTGATGTTCACTCCGGTCTTCGAACTCAATATCTTTCTCCTCAAATGCCATCACGTTGCCCACCTAGCTACTGAGTCCAGACAGCCACTAGCTTGCGCAATAATGTGAAGTGTAATTCATCTTGTATTTGTTGTTTGAATCTTCCCATTAACGTTTATGACTCCGATTGATTAGTCTCTATTGAGTTATGTAAGACTGATTAATCACAGCCAATGGGAACATATACCAAAAGAGACTGATCAATTGCAGTCATAAACGTCAGTGTGAAGATTCAAACAACCAATAAATGTAAATTGTATGATATGATTTCGGATCTAAGAAATAAAAGTACGTAATGATTTCAAAGCTCAACCTCTCCAACAAGCGACCGCACGGTCCTCAAATATATATTATGCACTTGCAAATGTAACTCAGTCAAACAGTCATTGAATTAATGGACTGATGTAATGATCAGAAATTGATCACCTTAGTTGCTTAGCTACTATGTTATTCCCTCACGCATTATATTCTACTTAATAAGTGTATGAGCTTTTCATATTATCACTTTTATCTTAGGAAGAACCAAAACAAATAGATGGCAAATTAAATTTTCATTCGTAAGTTTGTGATTTTTTTTGCGTTGTTTACTGTGTGATCTCTCTTTTCTTAGTGATTGTAAAGTATTACATGTGAATATATATTGTTTTCAACTTTGTATTGTCTTGTGGATTGATTTTGCAGGGATACATCCGTATATCATTGTTAATAGTATTCATATTTAGATACATTTACCTTCTGCCTTTCTATATTTGGATCATCTTTCATATGATGACTACCATGAATGTTGTTATAACAAGTCTTATTTCAACATTTTGAACTTAACATCGTTAGATTGTAAAACCTTCAAAATATTCTATGTACAGAAAAAACTGTGTACTTTGTTCCTTGTCAATGATTATTTTATTTTAAATAAGTGAATATCACCCATAACTTTAATTATAGAATAGCATATTAAAAAGAAATTGTTTTATTCACAGTTTGTTGAATTTAGGGTGATAAACATCAATGGTGAAGGGCGATCTTCTATCTAAAGTTTAGCATTTTTATTTAAAAATGAAATGGTATCTTAGTGGTTAAAGCGTTCGAATTTCAAGTTGTTGGGGAATAGATTGGAATTCTACATCATCATCATCTAGATGTGGGCGGCCAGTTGATTTCACCACTCTCCGCACAAACAGTTTGTATTGTATTTAAGCTTATAAATACTAAGAGAATCATATTATATTTAGTTAATTACGAATGTGCATTTCGTTCGTTATTGTGTATTTTCTTTGTTCTCTGTAGATTTCTGCGCCATTCAATGATGCTTTTACAAATGGCTTTCAAATCTTACAATCCTTGTTTTACAAATGATAAATTTCAAGAATTATCTTCTTCACAGTATAGTTCATTCAATCAAAATAGTTCATCAGATTGTCTTACTGTATTTAAACAAGCTGTTGGTCAGTTTTACTCTCAAACATCTATCGATTCTAATTTTTCAACACATTCTGAGAAGGAACTCTGTCAGTTAATGAAAGAAATGCGTAATACTATTGATAAATTACAATTGGAACTGTATGTTTTTAGCTGAAATGCAGCTATTGTTTTTAAGATATTTTCCGTTTTTATTACTCAAAATCTACTTTGTAAAAACTTCATATCTTCGATTTTTCGTTTAATGGAAACGCGATGGTATTTGAAGCGAAATGTTCTAAGTTCGAGTACCTGCGTGGACACCAACTCTAGGATGCAGGTTAATGCAGCTGACGAGTTCCGAATGGAACGGAACGCACATCCTGAATTCCACTACTAACCATCGACCATCTGTGCTCATAATATTTGGATTATTATTATCCGCCTTCTTCCAATTATTCAACTAATCATCTGATATAATTTTATAAACACTAAAATCATTATTAATGTTACATCACCAGTCGATGAGTATTATATATATAGTGTAGAGCCATGATGAACAACTAGTTAGAAAGAAATTCCTTCACTCTTTCCGTGTCTTTGCTAAATTTTTAAATGAGAACTTTCACTAAACTTATATTATGTAGTATTTCTTCAAGTTTCATATTAAAAAACCATCATTTCTACTAAGCATCTCAGCAATGACTGAAAAGTCCGCGAATGATACAGCGCTAGAATAACACCCAACCTCCCTTTTTGACGAATACATGGAACGTGTCCGGGGTCAAGTGCTTTCCGTTTCTTGTGTCACTGTTCATATAATTTTTGCCGAAGAACCTTACCCCTGGCTACTGCCAAAGATGTTTCGATTGATGAAGGTGGACACTGGACAATTGTAGAACAACATATGAGAAGTATATTCGTACGACTTCAACTTTCTTCTTTATTTGACTGACTAAATAAGCATAATACTTATATGATATGGTAAAGTTGATCATCACAAGAGGCGATCAGCAACCCTATCGGCCCTTCAAAAATAATAGTAGAAAGTAAATTTTAGCAATATACTTTTCACCTAACTCAATGCCATATTCTTTGTCGATTGTCACTGTTGAATGTCAAAAAATTGGGTGACATGTATTAAGCTTAGCATTTTCTAGAATGTATTTAAATGTGTTTAGTTGGTTGTCTAAAATTGAGCTTTAATGAAATGAGAAATATTCGAGCAAAAGTATAATTACGTAACCTCATTAGTCTTTATCTTTTTGTTTTTTTTGCAGAAAAGATGAGTGGCTTCGGGAATCACAACTGAACATAAAATTTCCAGAACTTTCAGCGACCTATTCGACCATATCTCAACCTTGCATTTCTTACGAAACAGGTGATAAGTATAATGTAAATAACAAGTCTAATAACACTTTTGATATATCAGCGGAGAATACCCTAAATAAGACAGATGAAGCGTTACCTATACATGAATCTTCTCACCAGTTGTTTAAAAAGTGTATGTCTGTTTTACTCTCTTAGAATTTAAACAGCTTATCCATATTTTGATTATGACATTGGTATATTTATTAAATCTTCATAAGATTGATGTTGTTTTTCCTTATTATTTACTTTTGTGCATTCGATAGTTCAAGGGTCTTCTCAAATAAAAATAATTGTATATTTATCTTGATCGTAAATTAAGGTTTGTTGCTAGATTGTAGCAGCTGCAATCTTGACGTGGTGAGTGGGGTCATATTTCGTGATGACCTAATCAAGTTTTTTTGACTGGAACATTTGTTCATTTGAGTCCTACTACGATAGACAAGTTGGCTGAAGAACAGTCAGACTAAAAGCAACAACGTTAAGGTCAAAGGACTGCCGTATTCCTGACTGTACTGAGGTGTTTCCCTCCAGCAACCACCATCTACAACTGTACGCCCTCTCCATAATGGAAAGGGGATATCACAGGTCAGATCTAGAAGTAACACACTTCATCTTCCCCTACAGATGTCCGGCGTCATCGGTAAAACCTTTGAAGCACGGAGCTAAGACATTTCAAACTGCTTATTAAAAGCCACGTGTATAACGAGACTCAAAAAGTTAACCTTTTAGCTCTGAGGTCATGCTTCTAGGCTGTCAAGATCGCCCCTGATTCAATCTCCTTTCCAGATTTGTGAAGAAGAAGTGTCCCTCCACAATATAGGAAACTGGGAACTGATAACCGCTTTCGTACCTCTAACAACACTGGAGATCACCAACTAACTTGGTTTACTAACCGTATTTCGCTGATGCTAAGTACTGTATCTCTTAAAACTGTTGCAATCTGATTATATGTTGTCATTATTCCTCGTTATTTCGAACGTTTATTTACATGAGCTAGATTTTTTACTCAGGGTAATATGATTGCTCTATATTCATTAACTAGTTTGTCTACTAACGTTGTTCGAGTTAGGATATTAGTATAAGTAAGTTTAATAGTTGAGATCATGAGTCAATTGAAGCTAGATTAACATGGAAAACCTGGAAGCACTGGACGGCCGGTTCGTCCTACTGTGGGACTTCTCAGCATTGCGCATCCACGATCACGCCTCACGGGATTCGAGCCCTGGACCTATCAGTCTCGCGCGCAACCGCGTAACCACTAGACCACTGAGCCGGAATCCAACGGTGTTAATGTCTAACTTCAACTAATGCACGAAATCAAGTGACACACCATTGTCTTCAGTGAGTTGATATCTCACAACAGACCCGGTTGAACTCCAGTGACCACTGCTTCTCATTAGAACTCCAGGAAATACTTCTTGAAGCCAGTCACTTGTGAGCATATGTTAATTAGTATCAGAAGGGGTCTTGTGGAGATTGTAATAATTTCAATAGTTGAGATCATGAGTCTAAGGTTTTTTGTCTGCTAATCCCAACCAATTTGGCCTATTAACTTAACATTGTCATACTGAAAGTATGTGGTATCATCCTATGATAAACATTGATTTTGCCTTGACAGATAATAAACAGAACCTTGTAGCGTGTTGAATTTTTTTAGTTTGTTACAATACCAGTAAACTGTAAAGCGAAAATCAACCGAACTAGGAAGTCGTGTGACTTTGGGTAACATGATTACGAAAGCAGGTATTTTAGTCTCTTCACTGTATTTAGTTTCACTCTAATACTGCTCAAATACTTGCTTAAATTTCTGTTGTACTGTGTCTCAAAGTATAAATATCCTTGTACAATATAACCCATTCAATCACTGCGTTGCTTTTACATAATTCTTTAAATCAACTATTGCTCACTTTTATTCAGCACCAGCAAGGAGTAATTTACAGTTCAACTTTCCTGATGAATCCACCTACAAGCATTTAACATCATCACTTAAATGTAGTCCAGTTAACGATCCTAGAATGAACTTCCTGGATCTAAAGAAAGGAAACTATTTGAAAGTTGATCATACAATTTCTAATTCGTTATCTCCACCCCGCACGCGAGAAATTGAAAATACTTTGCAAAATCTAAGTATAAACTCACCAGAAAATGTTCTTACCGATGAAATGTATACGGGTAAGTTAAAAATGTATAGTTTTAATGTTGAATTTCGATATCGTTGCAATAGAATAGAGTATTCTTATAACTTGGATAATTTGGCTTCTATGGTAATGTTTTTCCTGGTTAACCTACTGTTATATCAGAGTTGTCGTCTGCGTTATGTACTTATCAACTTTATTGAGTCCACAGTCTAAGTGCTTTAACTTAATAATCAGGAACCACTACAATTTCCACGATGCAAATTGAGAATGGAAAAGACTGGTGCAATGAGGATAGACTCCCCAGAAATACGTCTCAAATCATCCTTAGACCACATTATAAACATTTATATACCAAACTTCACACACACTTATATTTGTACTACATAGGTGGTGAAATACATACAACTGTAAAAACACATTATATATAGTTCCTGTATTAATACAGGGAATAAAATTATCACCCTGAATGAGACTTCACACTTGTCATATAAAACAAACTTTATACTGGATTGTTACAAGAAAATATTGACCTCAAAATATCACACTGAACAAAGTTTTCATCTGTCACTTTGGCCAATATTCATAATGAGTTGATACAAGAAATATTGATCTTAATCATGTCATTTTATCTCGTCATATCAGGTATGATTTTGGTAGTAGTACGTATAGGATTTATGGTTATATCTTTTGAGTACTTATTTAATCCGTACATCTGATAGCTACAATTGAATATATCAAATAATCGTTTAGAAAAGAAAAGAAACACTTGCAATTTCATTTAATTCAAAAACACCATTTATAATCTTGTGATGCACATATTGTTATGCAAGTGAGATTATGACCTATATTTTATTATCATATCCTGAAAAATCTGTCTTTCAAACACATTTTTTCCTCGCATTTTTATTACTGTTGTTATCGAGAAACTAGATTTATCTGGTTTACAAAACATTAAACATCTTATAGTAATGAAACACATTTGCGTATTATTTAATTACCCGGATTACTTGATTAGCCTAGTTATTTTAGTGACTCGAGATCTGACTCCATTTGGATCGTATGATTATCGTTATCGAGTGATTGCTATCGAAATATACATCCCTGTTATCCTTGTATATATAATAGACTTAAATTGCGTTAGTAAATAACGGAATTAAATAAGTCAAATACGAGAATCAATTTTGAATAAGTATACTTCATACAATCGTTGATTCAGACAAACGAAGCGAAATAACGCACGGTGGAGAAGGCGAGTGAGCTAATTCACTTTATGCAAGCATGAATCGATATCTATATTCAGACGAAAATAAGTTACATGTATGTGATGAGTAAGGTAAGATATGCACACACATACGATCATATAAAAAACAGTTAGGGTAAAAATGTGGCTTGAAAAGAATGAATAGATTGATCTGTCCAGAGGCTAGAATAACCTATGTGGGTTTGACATAGCAACCGACACTACATTATCGTTTACAGCTAGAAGCAAATCTCTGATCCTAATCAAATCGATTTCAAATAGACAGATTTACCATTCAAATTTATAAACATATATAATACAATTAAAAGCGTCATTTTATATACATAATGATCAATTCAGTTATTGTATGATTGAATTTATTGATAACATAACCAAGAAAATACAAAAACAGAACGATCACAAAAGGACTAGTAATCCTTCACTTTTTATCTTCGTAATAACCCTATGTTAATAATAGTTGTGTTAAGTACAATAAAACATTGATAAATAGAATTTAACTAATTGAATACACGCTATTCGATCGTGTTTTAATTAGTTTTTAGATTCTACAAATTTAATAACTAAAATTCATGTCATCCACTAAGCATATATTATGCGGTTCAACTGTTTCAATTATTAATTTTGAACAAATTGAACGTTGGTTAGATTGTTATAAATAAATTAATATATTTGTAACATTATCAGAAGGGGTTTGTGGAGATTTTAGAAATTTTCACAGATTGAAATCATGAGTCAGTTGAAGCTAGACCACCATGAAAAACCTGGAAGCACTGGACGGCCGTTTCATCCTAGTGTGGGACTCCTCAGCAGCGCGCACCCACGATCCCGCACCCCGCGGGGTTCGAAACCAGGACCTATTGGTCTCGAGCCAAGCACTTAACCAACTAGGCCACTGAGCCAGCATCCAATGGTGTTAATGTCTAACTTCAACCAATCCACGAAGTTGCGACACTGTATACCATTGAATCTCGCGGGGTGCGGGATCGTGGATGAGCACTGCTAAGGAGTCCCATACTTATCTTAGTTAAAAAATCATTTCGAGTAGTTTCAGTCTCATGATTTCAATCTGTGAAATTTTCTAAAATCTCCACAAACCCCTTCTGATAATAATCATCTGCTCACTAGTGACTGACTTCAAGAGATACTCCTGGAGTTCTAGTGGGAAGCCGTTACCAGTGGAGTTCAACCAGGTCTGTTGTGAGATATCAGCTCACTGAAGACAATCGTATACGGTGGCGCAACTTTGTGGATTGGTTGAAGTTAGGCATTAACACTGTTGGATGCCGGCTCAGTGGTCTAATTGTTAGGTGCTCGCACGCGAAGCCAGTAGGTCCTGCGTCTGAATCCCACGGGGTGCGGGACCGTGGTCGCGCACTGCTGAGGAGTCCCATACTAGGGCGAAACGGCCGTCCAGTGCTTCCAGATTTTCCATGGTGGTCTAGCTTCAACTGACTCATGATTTCAATCTGTGGATATTTGTAATATCCCAATTAGTAGAGAAATTATTCTTATTGTTCCGTTGTACTATTTATTCTCTGAAGAAGCGGCTTACACTAAGTCACGAAACGTCAGAAAATCTAATTTTTCTACTTATTGGGATATTTCAAATATATTATTTATTTATGTTTCAATTAATGCTATGTAATTTTAAGCTTAAAATTATTGTTATTCTGTATAATTTTATTTTTCATATTACTCAAACTGTCAATTCTTTCTATCATTAACAGAAATTATGTCCAGTACAACTGATATGTTAAAAATGAAGGGACTTGATTATTGTGAAGATATTTTGAAAACCCAGTTTCCTGTCACATCATTAGTTCTGCATAAACCACCTTCAATAAAATATTCTTTAAAAGGTCTATCCAATATACCAGTATCTATACCACCTACTTTTCTGTCATGTAAGTTTCGTTGACTTTTCCTATATATGCTATGTTTTTTTCTCTATGGGTTGGACATTATCCACTCAGTTTAGTAAAATAGCATTCTGTTAGTAAAAGTAGGGTATGTGCAATCAGACATCTTGAATAAAATATTTTGTAAGTGGTCTGTGTAGAAAATACTGAGGTGTATTTCATTTCTCATTTGTACTCTCTTATCGACACATAGATTTACAGTAAATAACGGCCAATCAATAAATTTGAATCAGTTTTTTATCAGAGCAACAAACGACTTGTAATTAAATAACCCAGAAGATGAATGAAAACTTGTATTCTTTTCTTGATATCACTAGTTAGGCGAGTTTGCTACAAATAGTTCTAATTTAAATCACTTGTTAGAATTAACGAAGAGCATTCATGTATTGACACTTCAATGAATACTTACCACTATTGCACATAGGATACAAGTGAAAAGGTTTGTTTTTTTGTACAAAAGGATCGTACTGGATTACACATAATAAAACAAAAATGCAAATACATATCTAATATAATTTTTATAATATGACGCCATAATAACACTTCTCTTCCAATAGTAAGTAAGAATAAACGCTCAAAATGAATATAGAAATTCTCACCTTATGAAACTGTTTTTTCCTCTCCATCTCTTGGTTTCCGGGGAAATGGTCACTATTTATCTCTTGAATAGATTTTGGCGACATAATAATTAACTTCTAAAGCGGTAATGTATAAATCTGCTTGTTTCTATTTTAAACGTGTATGTAAGAATTTTCTTTCTAACATATTATATTAACTTCTACTTTTTTCTATACATCAGTAGACTTTTCGTTTTTGTAATCTTACATACCTTTTAGCCTACAAGAATTTTTAGTTTAAACATACACAATACTAATATTTGATTTCTGATAGAGTCTTGTTTTCTGTGTTGAGTGGTTTGGTTATGAAGCTTTCAATTTCCTTTTGGATAACGGAGACATAAATTTTGTGGTCAACCGGATTTCCCCACTTAAGACTGATACGTAGTCCTGTTGACCTCGATCATGATTTGTTGATATTGACCCTTGTCTAGTCATTACTTGCATATTTATTTTGATTATCAGTTTTTAACTTTACGGTTGTCCATGTTTTTCTGATTTCGGCCATTTATGAGAGTCATAAACAGTTATAAAGTCAAGAACCAGGTCAAAAGGAATGACAATCTAAACAAATTTACGAGCGATTGCAGGGCAAGGGTCATCATCAGTCAGTCGAGGCCGAGGTCAACAGGACATGTCAGTCTTGTGTGAATGAATGCAGATAGCTCATTTCTATCTGAAATTTGTGGTCATTATGTTGTTCAGAAGGACAGTGGAAGGTGCTCGATTAAACCATTGAGCTCAAAGATTAAGGCCACCAGATTTATCTACTTAGACTACAAATCCTCCCTACTATCTCAAAAATTCTGTTTGTATGTAGTCGCTAGTGAACGCAAATTACTATTTTTGTTTCAATGTACTGTGTAAATAATGTTGTAAAGTGTCTTTCTACACATTTTTATGCTGTAAATGTTCTGATTTAGAGAAAAACGAATCAAAACAAGAAAATTGAGATAAATTATTATTATTGGTGAATTTTGATTCCTATTTTGTATGTCTATAAGCTTCATTTATTTTGTTGGCTTTTTTCTTCTTCCATTAAATATACATTAGTCTCTTCTACCATGGAATTAAAAGAATCTCACTTGTGTACTCCAACAAATAGCAGCTTCAATCTAATTGGTAAGTTGTACCATTTTTAATGACTAGTGTGATTAACTCTTAATGTGTAACTAATCATACAATTTTCTGCCTACAACAAAATTAAAAATACAAGTTTTTTCTTGGATGAAATAGTTAACACAGAAACTAAGTGCATAAAATAAGTCAGTATCTGTATAATTAGTTTAGAATCATTCGAAAATTTCAACTATTAGATCGTGGGTTCGTGTTAGGATGTGCAGAAAAATATACCAATAATTATCATGTTAAGTCTAATGGTGGCCTTGGACTTTAAATGTACGCTCCCTATTGGTCGATATTTATTTCACTTGTTAAATATTGTACAAATGTTGTTTTCTATTTTATGGTACGATGTGGTCTGGTTGATTGGTATATAAATAGAGTATGTCTGAAATGTAATGATTCATATCTCAGAGGCTAAGACTTGCGTTCTGGACTCAACTGCCTGGGACCAATCAGAACTCTAGGTCGTTCATTACGTGTTTGACGTGTTATTGATCCGGTCGATAAATACGCTGCTCCATCTAAACTGCAGTCACACACACGTTACAACAGTTCGAACCTGTTCCGCTTATCAGATTTTGTATGTTAACCGTCCATAAGATGTTAGATTCACTTAAATAGCTCAATGGAATCCGATTAAAGTAGAACAAGTGTTGGCTCTTCAGAATATTTATACATAAATAATGAATGATCCTATAGTATATAATAATTAGCCTCGATTAAAATTTACATTAAAAGTAATAAACTCAGTAACAGCACGAGTGCAAGAATGATTAGTGTGATATGACAGAATGGATAAAGAGAACGCATCAACAAATAAGTTAACAGTTATTTTATGATGGATCAATGAAATACAAAAGTGAGTTTATTCAATATAAAATCTACTACTCATGTGTAGTGCATTTTATAGTGAATCTCACAAATGATGCTTAGTTCTTCAGTTAAATCAATCAGCGCTGATTTCACCTCAGAGAAGACGTATGTCATAATAAATGAAGGTACTGCTGAAACAAATTCTTCTGTTATCATTTATACTTTGTTGATAAAAAGGATTGTACAAATGTAACAGGTAACTGTGTATTTATATCTTCCCTATAATATTCAAACGAATCAGTTCGTTATAGACAAATTAGTCTTTGACTTATTTTTTTGAGTAACTATTATTGTTATTTCCTTTAACTAGATGATAATCTGGAATTTGTCAATGATCTGCTTCCATCGTCTCCAAACTGACGACAGTGATGATTCTCTCATTTCCATATGCTGTAGTTATTCACTTTATTTGCCTGTTAATGTATAATTTTCTTCCATATAAATGGTGATAATGACTGTTAAGAAGTAAATATTATCATGATACACTATTTTCTGTATGTACTACATGTGAAATTAAAAGTGAATGATGTCTGCTACCAGAATACTTTGTATTTAACAGAAGTATCAGTTAACAATAATATCCTCTCAAACTTTAATGTTACAAAATTTGCGAAATCTTATTTGTAAATTATGAGTTTTTTGTAACATTCAGTTTTATCTCATTTAATCGAAAATTTTATGTCTATTTTCCATAACTTTAGAGTTAAGTATACCAATTAATTACAACTGATATGGTCCACCTAGCGTAGTTTAGGTACAGGAAGCTACGTAAGATCTTTTATTTACGTCGCAAATGAATCAAACTATCTGATTTTAACATTGTCATTATCATATTTTACGCTAAATAATACTGTCAAATCCAGGCAACCTGAGTTTGCAAAGTACTATACCCATGTTAATTGTTTAGAGCTAATAAATTGATGCTTCTGGAGAATTTTATTCAGTGTGAGACTTCTCTATTCTTAGACTTATGCATGAAGTTGCAACTCATTGTTTATATCATTCAAATCTTAATGTGGGTCGATCCTCTTGAGATAGAGGCATGTAAAACATTGGTTAGCCCTATTGAAAATATAAAAACTTCAGGTAGGATCAGGTTGCATGACCTCATGTTTTTTTCAAACCAACTTCAGGCTTATGAGGTTGCCTGGTAATACCATCCTTTTTCCTTGTTTTGCTTTGTTTGGTTTTTCCAAGAATGTCTGAAATAAATACATATTTGCGATGTAAATCTTTTACCTTTCTACATTTAATATATGATGTCATTGTGTTGTAATATACAGGCCAATCAAGTCATAATCAATGAGAATATAAATGGTTTGTGCTGTTGGTCTTCTATAGATTTACATAGTCGTGTATCTTTATTTGTTATTAGTGTTGATCTGTCCAAAAGCTAGTTAGGCATAAATCTGTGAGACCGTTAGTACATATATAAGGCTTCAATACTGGCACTTCTGTTTTTCATGTTTCTCGAATTGAGTTCCCAGTGGGTTTTTTCTTAATCATTACGTTTTTCATAAGATTAACCACATTGCGTCACAAAACAAAGTAGGTATAACTGTAGTCTAACAGTTTATTTGGATATTCAATGTTTACCATTTACGATTAACTGATCAATATTAGAGCAGTCCATAGGCGCTGGACAGCCGTCTCGCCCTTGTATGGAAGATGGTTGCACAATATCGTAGATTTATTGAAGTTGGACACGAACACCGTTAGATGCCGGCTTATTAGTCCAGTGGTTAAGAGTTCGAGTGCGAGACCACAAGGTCTTAGTCCAGTTTCCGCGTACTGAATCGTGGGTGTGCCTAGCGGAGTCCTATACTAGAACGAAATATCCGTCCACTCCTTCCCGGTTTTCAATGGTAGCCTATCATTTTAATCAAAATCGACAATCCTCACAGACCTATACTGAAAACACTCATTTATTATGCTTGTCAAATGAGAAGTATTTGTTGATCAGTAACTACTGGTTTACACAAGGAAATCATGTTTTAAACTCCAATAGTATGTCATTTAAAAAACGTATAAATCAGGTAAAAGTCCACAAGTTGAAGTATATATATAATTGATCTGATAATAATGTATAAGATGAGCGCATGGTAAACACCTTCAGTAGTCACATGTTGAATATGCTTGTAAAACTTAAGTTTAGAAATTAGCATCGATTTGAACTACTTATGTTTCCTTTTCTTATCAACTTAATGGATGTTCGATAACCATGACATTGCTCATACTATTTATAAATCCAGATATTTTCTTCTTTACTTTGTCGGTTTAAGTAAACTAGTTTGCTCACGCTAAATTACTAGGTTTTTATAATCAAATTTCCATCTTAACGTAACTTCTACTGTTGCAAAAAAGACTTTTTGTACATGAAAATCATCATGTGTAACATTCTTTTAATACTTATTACTTCTGAAATTAATTTGTAAACTATCGATATTCAGAATCTTTTTAATGTTCACTTCGATATACATCGGAAAACAAGGACGTAATATGGAACTTAGTGGGTAAAGTATTCATATTTTCAAAACACTATCAACCCCCACCAAGCTAGATGTGTTTAACTATATACCTTGTAACTACCGATTATAGCGTTTTACGTACACACATCTGTAACACTTACATAATTGACGGTTGTACGCTTACTGTGATATCCGCATTACTATACTTCTCATATAAATAATTCTTTTGATAAGCGCCTTCATTGTACAAACAGTAAACGTTCTGTTAGCTTTAAATCTTACATATATGACCATAGTTTGCTTGATAATGATGAATATTATAATCATTCATGTCCGGCTCCTGTAGGAATAGAATAACCAAAAGAAATGTCAATGTAACCAACAACGAGGAAAATCTGTGAATTGTTGTCACAGTGGAGTAGACACATGATTGAAATTGTTTAGTAATTCAAAAAGCAACCATTAAGTATACTTAGTGATGCTGATAATAGTATTATTAATCACTCAAGTGAACTTGAGAATAAACCAAAATGCGTATATGGGTTGGAAAGGTTTTCAAAATTTTCATATGATCAAATACTAATGGTGTCATGATCAAAATAGGCGTGAAAGTATGGAAAAACTACAAATAATGTGTTAATTAAAGATGTAACCAAGAATGTAGGAGCGAAATAAACGGAACAAGGTCACAAATTGGACTTGTGTTAATTACAAACAATTGTAGCGAGTATGTTAAGTTGATTGTAAATGATCGGTCGAGAGGTGGAGTTTAGAGCGGCTTGGTGATAACCTGAAGTGCTAAGCAGTTCAGGGCCTCATCGCATATATATTTTTAAGGATTCAACTGTTATCGGTTTGTTCTAATTGACGAAGTCCGCTCCCAGCAATTAACACGTAACTTATATTAAGTATTCTTATCATCATGGCTCGTCAATTTGGATGTACAAATGTAGATTCTGATGAGGAATTATTAGAAATAATATTCTTCGTTCCTAAATCTGTGTTCTAATAAATACTTGTAGTATTTTGTATTGATGCTCCATACTATTCTACGGTATTTAACTAATTGTTCAAAATTTGAGACTTTCGATAAGAAACTAAAACATATACATGAAACATAAATCAAAAATTAACTATAACTTAAAGCAGCCTAAATAGTGAATCAATGATACTATGTATTCTAAGTACCTGAACAGTAGAGAAAGCTAAATTTATTGTATCAATTATTCTAATACTAAATAAACCCGTTCAAATTATCATATTTTTTTATGTGGACAGCATTTCAACCTCAACCTTATAGGATGATAACAGATATAGTTGTAAATATTGATGACATCATTAGGAATCTATATCACTGAACGTATTTAGCAGATATCCCCTTGGAGATAGTTAAATTTATTTCCATTGACTTATACATTCATTACGTAATAGTAGACAGATTGGTAGATTTACAGGACACAGATTAATAGTTTTGTTACACCACAAATAACCACCAACTTTAATATTCAATATCAATTTAGGAGGCCGCATAAATGTATTTTTCGGAGATTTTCAGTATTGTGATGTGTTCCAATGACACATTTAAGACATTTTAACCAATATTATTGCAGTTACAAACAAGGATTAAGCAAAATTCAAGAAATAATATTCGTAATGAATGGAAAGTTTCGAATGTGAGTACCCGATTGCAACCTATATTCGTTAAGCAATATTACAGTAATTAAGAAGAGGATGGAAGATTCAGAGTAGCAGTCGCATTAGTTACTAAACTTATATACTAACACTGGAAAACATGAACTAACTGTTTAGAGTTTGGAAGATAATCTTAATCGGTGGTTGAATAGATTATGACATTAAAGAGGTATTACATACTGTGTTACAAACTGAAAGCAGACACTTCGTATAAATTATATTGCTTTTTTACATTATAGACAATAAACATAGTAACTGAATATCTTTCTTAAATCACTACAGAAAGTCTGACATTATAGGATTGATGTGACGTAGGATTTTGAATGCAATATTTTATTCTTTTGGTAGTGTTAATCAAATTTAAAGCATTTGATAAAGCACTTAAACTGATGAAACCCAATCCAATTCCACGACCTAGTGACTGACCATAACCACCATCTTGAACATAACCAATTAGAAGACGAAAATTCTGAGGAGATTCCTTATCATCTGCTGAATTAGTCACAGGATTACTGTTATCCTCTTTTGAATTTTTTCTATTAGATTCATTAGGATAGAATGCGTAAATACGCGCATATGCCTGTGGTACGCCTCGGTGTTCAGTTTTCATATAAACCTTAAATACAAATAATAAAAAATATGTAAGAGAACTTATTAGTGAATAAACAAAAAGCAGACTGTTTTAAAGTCTTATAGTTACTCAGTTGTCCAACGGGAACTCTATAAAATATGCCTTTTTAAAAATTATTTCTGAAATAAATTTATAAACGTCATGTTTCGAACGGAATGGTCTGCTTCAAAATGTCAATGTGAGTTTCACATAGCTCCTACCAAACTTGAATAAGCTATATGATTTATGAAGAATAAGTTCGGTAACTTAACGTTTTTATGTTCTACGTAATATGTATACTCACAGTACATCATGATCGGACCTGAGTGAAATTCTTTAAATACAGTGCCAGTATTTTGCATATCTGTCCTAAAATTGAATGAATAAATGATCAGTCTGTATTAGATTTAGGTTGGTGTCTGTAGTAGTCAGATTAAACATCTAAAGTTCGTACTTGCGACAAATAATCCTTTACAAAACAGCGTGTCAGTATGGAAACGCCTTCATATATTCACCAAGCTAAAATGCAAAACCCCCCTCGAATAAAGTGTATTCCTTTAAAGTTTTAGCTAAATTTTCCAAGATCCAAGTTAGTAACTAAGATGACAAACGAATAGACAGCTTTATATAAAAATAAAAAGCTTTAGATGGAACTCCTTTTTTATCTGAGATACCATCAAGCGACGTTACAAAAAGATAATATGTCAGTACTTCTGATTTCATTAAAACCAAGAACCGATCTATGTTAGACAACCACGAGGCACTCGTTGACTGTTCCACCATAGTATAAATTTCCCCAGCTGTGCGCATCCACTAATTCGGATCTGGGAGTCTGACCCAAGAACTTCAGTCTTGTGTGCTAACACTTGACGGGATCCGCTTATGTACAAGTCTAATTCCGGCCAGTTCAAGATATTGCGCGACTATCTTTCATTGTATTTGGTGAGTACCTTCTTATTTTCCACGAAGTTCATACAACGAAACAGCTAACAGATTATTGCGTACAAATGATATGCAAATACGTTATAAGTCCCATAAGAAGAAGAGATAGTTTGCCCCATGAAAATGAGAGGGAACGACCATCAATGTCTTTAGGAATGCTTATGCGCATGAGCGCAACCTTATGTACCTCTGGTATGTGCATATAAAGCATAAGATTTAGCAAATACGACTCAAAGGAGTGACGACCATCAATCCTCACAAGGACGAGATTATGCTCTGGGATGGCATCTGAAAACCTGTGTTACTGGTATGCATGTACTAGTCCTAAGCGCGACGCCTGCGCGCCAAGACCAACGGAGTTCCTACGATTTCCGGGTATGTTTGTCTTAAAATGGCAATTAAACAGCTAGAAAAGCCAATCGACTTCACTAATAAAAGCATAACCAACTTCAATGGGGCTGATACGTCAAGAAACAATATTGAAGTTGAAAACTCAGATAAAGTGTGAATGTAATAAACATGGACCTGATCCTTTATGGAAGAGAAAACTTAAAATAAATCTAATCTTTTTCTTCCAAATGCTTAATAAACTATCATATACATCCTATGAAGCAATTTAATATTCAGAAACTCATAGTTGCAGCATCCGTAACTCTTTGTCATTAGTGAAACGATCTTTAAATGCTTAATTGTTTTTATTACTGAGCCTACTAAGTAAACTTCCCTACCTGCTGAGTACTTTACACCCGCATTGTCCCTCGTAAACTTAGTAAATTTGAATAATATCTAACACAAACAGTATATCATAGCACATGTATCATGGTAGACCAGACTAACCTATCGTAGTAATAATTGCTTTAATTAATCGGTGCTTTCTGATTCTCTTTTTTTTCTCTAGTTGTAGATAATTATAATCAATCCGTTATGGCACTGAAAATGACTTTAAACACATCGTTCATACATCAACAGTATGCCTACTTAAAAAAAATCAAAAGCTCTTAGATGATACCCTTCATCGCTTTAATACAATTTGGGAAATAGAAAACTTAAAACAGACTTATATCGCATCTCTGTTCTCTACATTTAATATTGATATCTATGTCAAGCTGATCATGCCTATAAACTGATATGAATTCTGTAATTATTTTATTCAGAATATCTTTATTATTACCTATTCCATATCTGTAAACACTTACTTAGTTTAATTGATTATCACACAAAAATAATAAAATATTGAATAAAATCATATTGACTACTATAAATTAATTTACTTACTAGAATAATTGCATTTAAAAGTAATGAATTATAATTATACAATTGTTGTAATGATAATTTAGCACGATTTTCTCCAATGATCATTCTATGTACAACTAAACGAAGTAATCCTGGTTCACGAAGAACAAACCATTGTTTATTATCAACTGAACTAGACGTAATTACATTATCATTACTAGAAACTGTTGATGAAACAATTGAATCCGTTGTTTTTCCAACACTTATAGAATTTTGTGTAATCAGTTCAGACCAAGGATAAAGAAATGGACAAGTAATACCGAATTTAGTAAAATCAGGGCGTAAATTACTTGGAAGGCGACTGAAAAGAGATATATATAAATTAAAATGGAGCATGAAAATTCTTGGCATTTTATAAGAAATCGATGTAAACAAAAGATTGGAATCAACAAAATATTATCAATATGAATGACGTAGGTTGATCTCTTATATTATTCTTCATCAATCTTAAACTTTGTTCTGATTTTTTTTAAATCCACTCCGTTATTTTAAGAATGTAAATACAAAACCTGATTCATTTAAGTAGAATTTCTATATATCATTTGGTTAGAAAAAAAGCTAACATATATCTGATGATACAGTATAGGGTTGTGGAGATTATTAAGTTTTTAATTTAGACCATGAACTGGTTGATGTTAGACCAACATTGAAATCTTGGAAGCACTGGACAGCCGTTTCGTCCTATTGTGGGACTCCTCAGCAGTGCGCACTCACGATCCCAGTTCATGATCTCAACTAAAAAATATATATGATGACAGACCGATCATAGTAATATTTCCTGCTGTTATTCCGTGCTCTTTTTTTCTTCTTTCATTTTTTTCTACTTTTACATTTCTATAATTACCGAGTAACAGGAATCGAATCGCTATTGGCGACTCCATTTATTAAAAAAACATGAAGTTCTTGTCCCACAACTAAGAAAATACTGATTACTAACTGTTTGGTCTTATGAATCATTTATCATGCCAAACGGTTCATACTACTCCCTTAACGTACTTAATCTCTTCTCACATTGCTTACTGAGATAACTGTGTTTACAAGGCTGATAAGTTCTACATGGTATACTCCAGTAAAAATATTGTGCTATAAAATGCTGTCATTTATGATTGTACAATCCACCTGCTTCATGTTATTAAAATTCATGTGACAAGAGTTTAACTTTAAACATCTACGAATCACGTACCATTACTTTTTAAAATAAACTTGATTATCTCTGTAAATTAATGTGCATTCTGTAGTTATTTTCAAAATCTATACCATATTATTATTATCATTCTCATTAAACAAATTATGCACACTAAGAAATAGTAATACACTATTAATTTACATCAATTTATTTAACTTCTCTTTAGTGACAATTTCTGCAGATTTCCGACCAGCTAAGGTATCAGGCCATAAAGTTTCCGGAAATGAATCAAAACGTCCACCTGCGCATGTTCCAAGTCCCGCCCAATAATATAAATCTCGTAGACCTCCAACTTCAGCTCCTCGATAAACACAAGCTATAAGAAAATCACGCGCTGTTAAAGAACCACGAAGTAATAAATCGTTATCTGACTGTGGAAAATTTCGTCGTAATATTATGTCCCAACCAACGGTTTCAGGTGACGAACGAATCAATGACGGTGTACTATTCTGGATCAAAACAACATCTATACTGTTTTCTTTAGTTTCCTAATCGAGTAATAATCAAAGCAACATGAAACATAAACAAGTATGAAACCATTAGAGGTAAAAATAAATAATCACTTTCGAAGTCCCATAAGAAATAACATTTGTTTATAGTCAGGGTAATCGAGAAGAATAACTTACTCGAATATCTTAGAATACCAATTCACCTTCTTTACAATAAGTCCTAAAAAATTCACTGTACTTGTTTTATCTTCCGCATAAATTGCGATTCTCTATGAACATGATATAAAAATATTTTTCATAAAACATTTATAATCACCGCTGCAACCACCAGTCGATCTACGCTAATCCAACATTTAGGACCTGAAAGCTCTGGACGATCGTCCCGTTCTAGTGCGCATGCATGATCCCACATCCGGGACTCGAACACAAAACCTTCAGTCTCGTTCGCCAGACGGCACCCAACGGTGTTAGCGTCTAACTTCAACCAATCTATGATCTTGAGCAACCCTCCATCCCAAACCTGAGGTAGATATTTGTCTCGCACCCAACACAGAGTGGACTCCACTGGTCACGGATTCTCACTAGAACTCCAGAAGTTACATCCTGAAGCCAGTCACTGGTGAGAACAGTATTGTTATCAGTATGGAAATTTGCGAAGATTGCAGTATTTTCACAGTTTAATACATGAGTCGACCTAAGTGGTCTACAGGTTAAGCATCCGCGCGCGATTCGAAGGTTCTAGGTTCGAGTCCCGCAAGCAAGATTGTGTATGTGTGATGCTGAGGAGACCCATACTAGGACGAAACTGTTGACCAGGTCTTCAGTGGTGGTTTAGCTTAAATCGACTCGTGATTTCAACTGTGAAAATACTGTAATGTCTACAAATCCCTATACTGAAAACTGAAATTTATTTCAAGTACAACATTTAAAATATTAAAATTAAAGAAAAAACCAATACCAGATTAATTTTTGTTGAGAGTAATTGGTCAGGTGAATTAGTGTGATTTGGATAGAATTTATTAATATCTAACCAAGATAGTTGTTTACCAGAAGGTAGTACGAAACCAGATTTGTTATTTAACGATTCATTCATACGTAATTGGTCCTGATTTTGTGGATCATTGTCACTTAATTTGATTGGCATGAGAGACCAATTTCGATTACGAATTTTCAAATGTGGCCTACAAAATATATTATTGAAAAATATAGAACTGTGTATAATGCAGCACACTATTCGCATAGTCAGAAAGCGAACAATTCTTTAAAATGAACATATTGACAGTGTCTAATAAGATTATATGAATAAAGAAGCCATGACGAACAATGAAAGCGATTTTTGAGAGCCATTGCTTCATTTAGTTTCTATAAATCATAAGCTTTCATTTAGTTCATGATTTACTGCCATACCCTTTCAAGTCCCAAAATTATTTTAATTTAAAACGTGACCTTTTGTAATCTCTTTTTCTATCCTGATGCTTAGTTTTGACATAATTGTATTTTCCTAGTTCTTTGTGTGTTTTGATCATGTTAGTAATCTACCTTTTCATGTGTCTTTGCGTTAATCTGAATCAGGAATAATTCGAGTAGTGTTCCAATGGATTCGTTTTCTCTCACTCTCGCTTGTCATCCAATTGGGTGGTAGAATAGTTTTTGCTTTTCTGCTTCCAAAGCTGTTTAGTCACAAATCGAACTCACACATTACTGGATTCAAGGTTAAATTAGGTAGCCTATCGCGTCAAGGCCTTAAACTAAATTAGGACAAGTTCTCTCTTGTAAATAATTGAATAGGAGGATCAAGGACGTAACACAAGCAGTAGAATCAGGACGAGGTACATTGTCTCATTGGAAACTCAACAGTTCGGTATCCCGAAGGTTCTTGATACTGAAGACTTACAATCGATTACTCTACAAGCTCAAACGAGCTGCAACAAAACTTACTTTTGAATGGAACATGAATGTCAATATACTAAAAACAGGAAATAGTTAAGTGCTCGTTTAAGATAAACTATGAACACCAAGAACAGATACTACACTCTAATAGTTATACACTTTGGATAAGAAAATAAATTTTTTAATGTTTGGATAGTATAATCAAATACATTAGCGCAATACATTTTGAAATTCATTTCGTTGATATATCACATAGTTCTCATAAAATTCATCTCCTTGTTATACAATCCAAATTTATTAAATGGATTACTTGTATCAGATATGTAATATTTCCCAGATCAACTTTTTAAATAATTTTACAAAATATTATGTATGCTGAATTTATTAAATAAAGAAGTGGTAGCACACAAGCAAGGAAAATGACATTTCACAAGATCATTTTGACTGTGATACAATTCATACAAAAGGTATTCATCAGTATGGGGCTGTGGAGAATATTAAGTTTTTGATTGAGATCATGGACTGATTAGTGTCAGACTACCATTAAAAACCTGGAAGCACTGGACGGCCATTTTGTCCTAGTGTGGGTCCCCTAAGCAGTGCACATCCACGACCCAGCATGCGGGATCATAGATCGGTTGGTGTTGGACATTAACACTGTTGAATGACAGCGTAATGGTTTAGAGGTTAAGCGTTCGCGCGCGAGACCGAATGCACTGGGTTCAAATCCCGCGAGTGTGATTGTGGATGAGCACTGTTGAGGAGTCCTACAATGGGATGAAACGGCTTTCCAGTGCTTCCAGGTTTTCAATGGTTTATTTATTTATTTTAGCACATAAATATTGATACAAGGAGGCACCAGATACATATGCGCCACACATTTCATTTTAATTGTGTGAAGGCTTTGATACTACCAAGGTGCCCACACCGAAACAGGTGGTTCTCTTGGAGAGCCACACCCCAAGACTTTGACCTAAAGTTCTGATCCACAAGAAAGTGGTGCATGGTGAGGAGATGCAGTCTCATGGTAGCCAGTGACCAACAATTGGTTCATACGCAATTCGTTCCCTCAAGATAATGGAGCCCATGTGCATCATTGGTTTGCAATCAGGGTTTCCCAACTCCCCTAGATGGATTTCCCATGTCCATCAACCGGGTTAAAGCGGCGGACATTCGCTTTTCGTCCTCTCAATTTCGTAATCAACACCCCCGCCACGAGAAGGCAGTGAGTACGACTTCCCTGGCAGTGGTTGTATGTACGTGGCCATGTGAGAGCATTTCGAGAGGGAGAGCTGACTCTCCCCAACCTTGGCAGTACCAAGGCATTAGGAGTGATCTAACATTAATCGATTCATGATCTCAATCAAAAATTTCAAAAAGTAAACTAAATTAATATCAGTTCAGAATAATGGAAGTGATCATAGTAATGATAACATTTTAAGTAAACATGTAATGTAATTGGAAAATTCATATTATTACATATGAATAATCAACAACAACAAACAAAAGAATGTATGCAATTAAAAATGTGTATTAAGGTCAAGGATTAATGAAAACGATTCATGTGATCTTATTATTGAAATTTCAATAAAAATGTTTGACAATAAAATGAAAATAAAATTTTTGACAAAATCAACTGACCTGATAAACGCATTTAACAGTTAATCATTTATTTAAATGAAGTATTAACTGATATTATCTGACTTTTAAAACTATTGTACTTCCTGATACTATGATTAGTAAAAATAATCTGTTGAATATTATAATAGAATTCCTTACATAATATATTGAATAAGTTCCAAATATAATGATATACCATTGTTATATTCTACAACTAAATACATTCTATATAATTTATGTTTATAAAATAGGGGGTTTTGTGGAGATTTTATTAATTTCAGTAGTTGAAATCATGAATCAATTGAAGCTAGACCAACTATGGAAAACCTGGAAGCACTGGACGGCCGTTTCGTCCGTTGAATGCCGGCTCAGTGGTCCAATGGTTAAGCGCTCACTCGTGAGACTGATAGGTATAAGGTTCGAATCTCGTGGGGGGCCGGATCGTGGATGCACACTGATGAGAAGTCCCATACTAGGACGAAACGGCCGTCCAGTGCTTCCAAGTTTTCCATGATGGTCTAGATTCAATTGACTCATGATTTCAACCATCCTACATATAGTAATCTATTATTTACATATTTAAAATTGAATTCAAACACACTAGTTTTGTATAATAAAAAGAAACTAAGCTATGAGTTTTCTAATCAAATTGTTTCACACTAATCTAATCTATTGAATAGTTCATTAGTTTCTCAACTAATATAAAAATATCAAACTTGACACAATTTTGTTTCTAATAGATTATTCTTATATCATATCAAGATAAATATAAATTAATCACAACAACAATACAAAACAAAGATCCAGATAGTGATCGAATTTTCATAAAAATTTTGATCTTTTTATTTATATATTGTACGTATCTTCATTCTAATTCAGGTGGACAATTTAAACACTTATGGTTAAAGATAATAGATGACTCTTACAATGGATGTCATATTTTCGCTTGATAATAAGTAAACATGCTTATAAGACAATTAGAATAACAAAATAAAGAACCCTATCTTTATATTCCGATCTTTCTTATACATATTATTATAATTGATGTAACTACTTTATGAATTCGGTGTTCATCTTGGTGTAATAATGGTGTGTGGCAACTTGGACCGACACATATATGTGCCTGGTCCTACGCTAAAGATGACTGAAGGATATAAGGTGAGTAGATGTGTGGTAGATTAGTTGCTGGCTGCATGCAATTATTTACTAAATCATAACTACCAACGAAGTGAATGTGCATATATACACAGATCCATCATTTTTTCCACATTGTAAACTTTCCCATTATACACGTCTTACTGACTTATGTTTTCCTACCCATTAAAATCAACATAAGAGTATGATTTGATAATCTTTTAGTGTAGTTTTTGTTGTTAAAAGTTATTTACTCTAGAATAATTTTGATTTTGATTATCACCTTGAAGAGGTTCTTATTTATTTATTTGAACACATAAATATTGGGACAAGGAGGCACCAGATATATATGCGCCACACATTTCATTTTAATTGTGTGAAGACTATGATACTACCCAGGTGCCCACACCGAAACAAGTGGTTCTCTTGGAGAGCCACACCCCAAGCCTTTGACCTAAAAGTCTGATCCACAAGAAAGTGGAGCATCGTAACAAGATGCAGTCTCATGGTAGCCAGTGACCAACAATTGGTTCATACGCAATTCGTTCCCTCAGGATAATGGAGCCCATGTGCATCATTGGTTTGCAATCAGGGTTTCCCAACTCCCCTAGATGGACTTTCCATGTCCACCAACCGAGTTGAAGCGTCGGACATTCGCTTTTCGTCCTCTCGATTTCGTAATCAACACCCCCGCCACGAGAAGGCAGTGAGTACGACTCCCCTGACAGAGGCTATATACGCGTGGCTAAGTGAGAGCATTTCGAGAGGGAGGGAGGGCCCTCCCCACTCTCAATCGTACCACGGAAGTTGGGGGCCTGACGAACAATGAGTGGACGTGGTAAAGGTGGGAAGTCTCGTGCTTGAAGAGGTTCAGACAAGTTTGTTGTAAGAAACGGAATGATTTAAATTCCAACCGTTTATAATTTTAGCATATAATGTCCTTCATATACTCGGAGCCTAATTTCTGTCAAATTCTTCATTTAAATATTGACAAATATTTATATAGATCCAGAACAATGTGTATGAGACTTCTGAGAACTGATTCATTAATTTTTGCAAAATCATACTTTTATTATTTTCATTATTTCGTTACAAAAAGAAAATAATGTTCCTTTTTTCATCGCACTACTGTTCACACAGATGCGTCAGTTGACTAAGAGGATAGTATATTAAAACTGATAAGAAAACCTATAATCATGTTGAGGCTATAATTTATAGACGAACCCAATCACATTTAAGATAGTAGGTTTTGAATTTTGGTGCAAAATTCATTTGGCCAAATAACAATTTGGCATTATATCTGATGTCAGTTCGTGATAAAAACAGTAAATCTAATTCGTAACATTCAACTATAGATCCTAATGCTAAGTCCTCACACTAATATATAATTCATATTTAACCCTAGTAAATAGGTGGACATTTCAAAGTCATTTTAGCGTTGCTCAAAGGTCATCCATAAATTATAGTCTTACTAGAATTATAATGAACACCTTGTTTCATTCGATTGTTCATATTCGACATGTATAGCTTTTAGCCGATGATTTCGAATTTTCTCTACTTCAGAATTATGATCTATGTTGTCAGGTGATCTGAATAATCCTAATAGATTGTTCATTTATTCACTTGTCAAGCCAATTAGAGACAATCATTCAACTACTTTCAAAATTATTTAAAATGTACATTGCGTTGTTTCTTGTTTAATAATAAAATGTGGCAACCACAAATCAGGTACATTAAAGTGAATAATTGTAGTTAATATGTGTTGGTCAGTGCAATCTGTTCATTATTATCATATCGATTACATTTGTAAACGTCAAACTGATGAAAAAAAATTTCTTTAAAAATTCTTTCTTTACCTATTAGAACGGAAATTTTCACAATCCTGTAGACTAATAACAAGTCCCGAAGGGACACAGACAGCTTCACGTATATTTGTAGAAACATTATTCCAAGATGTCCAATTTTCGTCAAGTGTACTCCCATTCTTCAATTGAATAATATCACTGATTAATCCATGTGATTGTCGACCGATTAAACGAAGGCGACAAAAGTAACCCGTTACATCATCTAGTTCAAGTGCACATTGTGTATCATTTAAAGAATTGACTTCTTTAATAGAAGTTTGTAGTAATTCCCAAGCTGATGCAGACATTGCTGGATGAAGCCATAACCAAATATGACGAAAGCTTTCGTTTAGCTTCAAATGTTTATTTTTTTACAGGAATAAAAAAAATAACGAGGATAAATAACAGGATTTAATAAGGATATTTAAACAATACTATAACCAGCACCGATTCGAATTATCCCGTTGCTAATATTGTGGATTAAATTTTTACCAGTCGTTATAAGCATCTTGTCTGTGCGGATTGTTTCAATTAATAATATCAAATGATATAAACACCGTACTCAATGAACAAGTCAGTAGCTATCTGGTCACAGTGGATAACGTGTTTGAAGTTCGAATCGAAAATGAGTTCAGTATAGGGTGTGAATATCAGATACATTTAAGTCCTAAATGAAACAAAACACACTTTTGGGACTTTAACGTAAACTAAAGTTCATCAATCCGACAGTGTATTTGAACAATAAATTTTCCCTTTTCTTATTACAATTGCTGTGCCTGATATAGTGTTTTAGATATAAAATGGAGTATATAATGAATTCATTATTTAAAATGATGAGTAATTCAGCATGAAAATGACTACTGAATTCATCAAGATTTAATGTCGATCAAATAGACATTAACAGTCCTTGGTGGTGAATTATATTAGGTACTTTAACGCACAATATGCACCAGGACCAGATATTTCTTGTAACTTGGCATAAGCACCATCTTATGTTGACTTTTTGATTGCATAACAGGTATTTTTTTATCAATTTCAAATATTTTAAGAACCAAACATTGCTAATTTTTATTTAGTTCATTATAAGATGTAAGTCATCCAGCACTGTGCAAAACCCAAGAGGAGCTATCTCAATTTTGATTGATTACCTCAAAACCATCAGTATGATATACTTTTACTGAGATTTCGTATCAAGGTTTAACTTTCGTCATATTTGCGTTGTTCATCTGGCGTGCTGGTTTCGGGTACATTGATATTCCCATAGCAAACAGTTATGAATAATGCCAGACTTTTCAAATGAAATATTTGGTGAGAAATTCACCCTAATACGTAGCAGTTATCCACTCAACGGATGAACTGAATGCAACACCTATTGGACAGTGAAAACGTTGTGAATATTTTTAGTCAGACAACAAACCGGCTAATGGATTAGATTGACCCTCCCTGATTGAATCATAATTATTTAATCAGATAATTACATAATTAATGTCCTTGGTCAGACTATGGGGCTGACATATAAATATGAAGTATATAATGTGACTAACAAGGTAAAATGTGGATCACATTTTATTGTGTTCCATTTTAACCTTATACCTTTGGATTCAGTTATTAGTAATTAAAATACATTTAAACATTGTAAACTTCTCACTCACACTCATGTAGTCAGTTCAGTCACGAACCATGTGACCACTTTGTGTCACATTACAGATAAAGGTCATGAAATAAGTAACCATCATGAAGCGGGAGATCATTAGATGAGTAAACAATTCAATATTTTGTTACTAACACTAACCATATTGATAAGTTACAACTTCTGACAAGCTTAATGAAGTCAGTATAACAGGAGGGAAAATCAACTTGATGAAGATTCTTCAGATATCAGCTAATTGCTAGGTGATCAGAGTGATTTGGGAAGATCATGAGTAAGAGTATAATATAAGAACGAAATAAGAACAAACAGGACAAACTTTTAGTGGGTTCTTAGCAAATCGGAAAACAGTTTCTGCAAATAAACAGTTTGTGGAAAAAAAGACAATAATATTACAAAGCGTTAACCAAGTTTACATAATTAATGAGTCTGATGAAATCTTTCAAATATTTTTCAGTCTATAGATTGAAAAAAACAAGATTATACAATTTATTTACATGGGTATGAAACATCATTCTTCTCGAGCCCTTATAAGTCAACATCAACATTTCTAGGAGTACCCAGATTGTTCCTGTTTAAGGTTACAGATTTACGGCTAGAATTAGGGGATTTAGGGTTAGGATTAGGAATTCAACCTTATGGTATATTGAGTGTTATGTGCATCTTTAGTATAAAGCATCGAGTAAATGAAATGTTTCACGACAGAATTTTCAGATTGTGATGCGAAAACATAATACTCCACATTATCATTCTAAACTCTTTGAAAACTATACAAACTTATTTCTACTACTAGTTTGACCTGATATAAATTAAAGTTCACTTAATTTCGACCATAATTATCTTTGCTAATTTAGTGGCTAATCAATCAGTTTCAAAGTTTACATCACAAAATGATTCTCGCTAGATCAGTACTGAAAGCCTGAAAGCACTGAGCGGTCGTTTCGTTCGATTATGAGTAGTGGGGTCGAAGATTCGCTTTACTGACGAGTCCCATACTAGGACGAAACGGACATCCAGTGGTTCTATGTTCTAAATACTAATCTAGTAAAGACTGGTTTGTGATTTAAACTTTGAAAATTCAGAAATATCCGCAAACTCCTAACAATGATAATAAAAATCATGCAATTGTTCCAAAAATTCAATTACAATCAATATATGAAACTCGAAAGGAAGATCCAACTGGTCAAATATTGAACAGTGGTTATAGAAATTGGTTTCGATAAGTGAGAAATAAAAGTTGGTCAGCAAATATCACAGAGATTTAGTGAAAAGACTAAGTACAAAAAAAAATATATCAAGATAGCTGGCTTTATAGACCAAAGATTCTAAAAATGTGCCCAATGTCAATCGACTGATAATTTGCTACAGAATAATATGGTAACTGTTAAAGAGATCCACTTATTAACCGAAAGCGCCGAATCAATTATGAATCAAAGTTAAAACAAGAACGCAGAGGAATATGTTTTGCTTCATTAAAATAACGCAGCTATATACAGAAAGCTAGATATAAAAATAAAAGTGGTTAAACCGTCAGTATGTGGTGGTGAGGATTGCTGAACTTCATTGAATATACTAAACTGAGTCAAGTATGAGGAAGGTTCTCAACGAACACTGTCGAGAACTGATTGGAATTAGACTAGTACACTAGTGGGCCCCGGCTCAGTGGTCTAGAGGTTAAGAGTTTGAGAGTAAAGCTAGGGTTCCTGGGTTCGATTGCCAGATGCGGGATTGTAGGTATGCGCACTTGAGGACGAAGTGGCCGTCCAGTGCTTTCATGTTTTCAACGATTGCCTAACTTCGACCAGTTCATGGTTTTAATGAAATTCGTTATATAACATAAAGAATTGAAAAGTATAAGAATTACAAACCTATTACTGACTGAATTAATCATTAAAACTTAATTTTTGACAGATATTTTAGACTTCGATATGGAAGTTAACCAACTAATGTCAGAGTTGCATAAATATTTTGTAATATTAAAGGTGAGCGATATCAATTTCGATGTGCCATTATTATCTATCAACAACCTCAAAAATTCAAAACAACTATTCATTGGAACATAACTGATCACTTAACATTTAAATCAGTTAATCAATGCTAAAAATAACAAGAAAAGTCGATTAGAAACTAATCCATAAACCATTATGTGTGATCAATTGGTTGAGACAGTTTCTGAAGTCACAAAACTGTAAAATATTCAATTATCTGGAATATGTACTTCAAATTGCTCTACAAAGTATGAATAAACAATTAAACAAATAGGAAATTTTGCAATCATCAAGCAAAATATAGAAGATAAACATAATCAGTCAAATGATAAATACCTATTTAGAAAAATAACAATCAACTTACTGAATTTAATGAACCCCATAGAATTCGAACAGGTCCAAGTACTGGACGAGAAATATCTTTAACATATTTATTAGTTGCGTATAAAATTCCAGTTTGTTCACATGACCATAAAGGAGTTTTCATGTTGGACAATTCAGGAAGCCAAGAATCAACTTGATAATCTAATTGAAATACATCATTTAAACATTTCATTAACATATTCTCAGGTCCATATATTTGGAAACAATTAAGATAACTGACGTCAAACAATAAACAACCACTAAAATTTAAAAAAAAATACAATTGCAACAAAAAGGTTAGTTCACATGAGCAAGTACAAATAAGTAAGTAGTTACAAGCTACCACATTGTTGAGGTCATCGTAATTATTGTAACTAATGGTTAGATTTTGGGTGATATAACTAAGAATTGTTTGCAATAGCACATGTGCATGAATGTTTTAATTTTTTTTCTTAGATTCTAAATTACCGTGCAAATTGTTTTTTTACTAGAGATAAAAATCCAGATAGATATCTGTTAGCCCAGGTTGTAATACTAGATTAGTACGACTAGATGTAATTAAAAGATAAATACTAAATAAACTGAAATAATTTAAAAGTAATGATAATGAGAAAAAATAAAGATTGAGAATACAATGGTAAAAAGTAGAATGGAAAGGTGTGTATGGAAAAAGATATTGAAACTTAAGATCTAAAAGAAAACAAGGAGTAGATCCGTTCATGGTTTTATAACCGATTTGGAACTATATCACCCAATGTCTTCAATTCCTGATTGTGATTAACACGAGGACCCTTAATCGGATATTTCACATCTACCAACATGGTTTAGGTTGAGTAAGCAAATTCATGAACTGGTGCCATGTCTTGATATCGCCACCCCTAACTTTGTTCCAACTTTCATTTACCCCAACCAACATTATATCTCAAAGTGGGTGATGACTGAGGATAGGTTATGTATGTCTCAAATATCTCAATCGATGAAGATTAACAACCTTGATCGTTTCACAAAACACTGTAAATATATTTCACCAATTTACTGGTTTCGGAAATAACTGATAGGGGAAATATTGGTTTCAACAAATGATTAATTAAGTCAGCATTATAAATTGTAGACACAAGAACTACAATTAAAGAAAGCTATAATTACACTAGTATACCGCCATGACCATTAAAACAACTATATAAATGGATAATCTAAAGATTTTTACGAAGATTGACTAATCTAATCGTGTACATACATTACCAGATAACCTAAACCTGCAAATATACATCGATCTATAAGGGCAACTAGATTAACCACACCTTTCAATGCTATTTGAGATCCTGGTCGAAATAACAAGAAAACAATGATTATTTAAAGATTTTTCGCAAATATAACATAGACAATTTTTGACTGAGATGCAATCAATTATTTTTCCAAGTTGCAAAAATTCAACAAATCTAAATACTGAATACTCTACAGAATAGCGAATTTAAGAAGTTGATAAGACAAGGGATGTAATAGGAAAAGAAAACAATCAGTGCAATCATGGAGAATAATTATCATGTCCATACAGAAATTTCAAAAGATTAGTTAATTTCTTATTGAATTATTAACCCGATAATAATTATGATTATAATAGCATATAGAATTTTTTTATAAGCCTGGATAATTTAGATAAATGAACTATTTTGATCTTTCTACTTATTTTTTCATTTACACATATGACCTCATGATATGTGCATCATACAACATAAATACTTATATGCTTTCTTGGGTGTTTCATACATATAAACGTTGTATGATGTGTTGATTAAATAGAGTTCGCACGGTTGACATCTCCGCTTGACATATTACTTTTGTCTGAGTAAGTAAGTACCTGAAATAAATTTATCCAGCTTACTACCACCATTGCTCAAACGGGGTTTTAGCTGAAGCAAAATGTACAGAATTAAAGAGAGAATTAACATTCATTCATTATTTCTAATGAAGCCAATGAGTTGCCACACTATCATAAACCATAGGTGCGGAGTCGTGGATGCGCGCTGCTGAAGAGTCCTGTACTAGGACGAAACTGCTGTCCAGCACTTCCAGGTTTTCAACAGTGGTCTAGCTTACATTAACTCATGAATCCAACTATTAAAATTACTACGATCTCTCTGATAATTCATAATTACAATTCCCAAATAAATAATTCCTGTATATAATAAAAATAGTAAGATATTGAAAAGATGAAATACAAAATTTTGACTAGTTAAAAATGATTTTCAAGGATTTCTTCTTTAAATTATAAAAATCATTAAAACAGCGCCTCTGCTACAATTAAACTTGTTTTCGATTAATTTTGTTAAGTCCATAAATTAACTTATTCAACAGTGTTATTCGAACAGTAAAAATATGGTCTGTCGTTTTATTATTATTATGACTGCATGAACATGCATGCTGAATATGTGACAGTCCACGCAAATATCCCTCTCTCCAGCTAAAATGTTGTTGCTTAAATATCACTGGATGAATCAATCGCTTCCGCATATATATATATTATTATTAATCGATTTGTCTCGGAATTCGCCTCTGTATTCGCTTGCTTGCGTGTATTAGCTTTTCCGCTCAAATTCGTTTGACGCTCTTGTAGCTTAGTGATCTGCGCAACGCAATAATAAACTGTAGTCCGAGCTTCATATTGCCTTCTCAATTTATACACCGTTGGAATTTAATTAATAATGGTTATTAGGATGATTAATATACGAAGCCTAAGGAATTATCTCGAAGACAAACCACCACAAACAACAATCATTATAATACATGTAGTAATATTTTACTCATCTATGGAGCTGGAATGGATTGCCCAGGACAGGGTTGGATGGAGAATGCTGGTGAGTGGCCTATGCTACTTCACGAAGAGTAACAGGCGTACGTAAGTAAGTAGGCAATGGTGTCCATATCACATTACACTTTCTATCAAAGTAATTTCCCAATAAGATATCAACTTCTTAATTAAAAATTCAAATAAATAACCTTAAAGATAGGTTGATTAATTAACATTATTAAAATAACTTACTTATGAGATGCTTTATAACATGCTTTGAATATTTTATTCGTTGGTGCATAAGGTAAACGCCAACCCCATTTTGTAATCATATGAAATCGTTTAGCATGCCATATATGTGTTGGTAACCAGAATGATTTTTTCTTTTTTAAATGGTTATTATGTTTATTTGTTGTAATAAAACGTGCATGTAAAGCTAAAAGACGTAATGTACGCCGACGATATCGGCGGGATTTCAATTTATTTTTAATTCGAAATGTCTTTATTTCAAAAGAAAAAATTAGAAAAAAAACAGGTTCTGAAAGACATTCAACAATTAATACTGTGAACTATAATAATAATAATAAGTTTAATTGTCATCACATATGAGTCATAAAATTTAACGAGCAGAATAATAAAGATTTTTATTATTTTATTATTTGAACACATATATATTGGTACAGGAGTGCGCCAAATATATATGCGCCACACAATTTCAGTTCATTAATTACGTGTGGGCTGCGATACTGCCCGGGTGCCCAGACTGAAGCAGGTGGTTATCTTGGGGGGGGGGGGCCACACCCCGAGCCTTTGACCTAAAGGTCTAACCCACAAGGCAGTGGAGCATCGTCATGAGATGCAGTCCCATGGTAGCCGGTGACCAACAATTGGTTCATACGCCATTTGTTCCCGCAGGATACTGGAGCCCATGTGCACCATAGATTTGGAATCCAGTTAAAGCGCCGGACATTCGCTTTTCGTCCTCGCATTTTCGTAAACAGCCACGGGAAGGCAGTGAGTAGGACTTCCCTGGCAGAGGCTGTATACACGCGGCCGTGTGAGAGTATTTCGAGAGGGAGGGCGAACCCATCTCGCTCTCGGCCATACCAGGGCATTTGGGGGCAATAAAGATTTTAACAATTAACAATGAAATTTCAAGAAAGAAAGATCTGCTTTTTTTTACTCGTTTTCTGGTTTATTTTCAAAATGTACAAATATCTAAATTATATTCATAATTGATAGTCAGTCAGTCAGCTACAACGTAGGATCAGGGATATATATATGCATCGGACCAAGTTTCCATACCTCACTCATTAACACAACAAGATGAACACCAAATTCATAGAAGCAGTTACTTTAATTGTAGTAATTTATGGAGAAAAAAAAACACTTCATATAAAGATACGATACAGGGAGAAAGAATGGATGGATTCCCAACCGACCTGTTCTGTCGATCAAGCGTATTCTTAACAGAAACTAAATACAAAAACGTATTTATTTCATGAAATTTTCAATCAACAGATTGTTCTTTTAACAAATTAATTCCTGAAAAAAGTAAAATGCAAGAATCACCGAATAGGTCATTATATATTCTTGCATTAGACCAGAAACTAGAAGTTTATTAAGAAAACAATATGTAGACCGAGGATTTCATGGAATGAGTACAATGTAGTTAATTGTTCAAGCTATCTGGTTCGTGACCGTGAGATTGTTGTAATAAACTGTTGAAGACTTAGAATACTATGATTCACAACCAGTCGTAATGAAGCAGATGTTTGTTATAAAATACTTATACTTTTTACTCTGTAAATTTATTCTCTTTTCGAATTATTGTCTGTGCCTAAACTTTTCGATTAACGTTTATTTTTTACTACTTGTATTATATTGCGATTTATCTAAAATAACTTCATATCACCACGTTAGTGTGATATGGGAACTTGAACTGATGAGTGTATATACCATGTTCCATTTTGCTTATAAATGACTGGCCTCACAGATAATTGACATGAGTATGTTATTCTCCTTACGTAATTGATGACAACTATATTTCAGACATAAAATCCTTTCTTCTATGATTTCGAATAAATAAGATGAATTTAACCACTATAGAAAAAAGGTAATTGTTGTAAGTTATAACAACCTAGACTGATAAACACAATTGTATCACGTCCTATGTTGGCTAAAATGAATAGTTGGAGACTATTCAAGTCGATCAAAAATGGTCATTAATCAAAGTTAATTTCATTTTGAAAATGTAAAACCTTTAGACTTGTTTAAGTTTTTCACAATTCGTCTAAATTAACTCAAAATAGCTAAGTTAGTCACTAGTGGAATTTGTCAAGGTATAGTTTAGATTATACAAACAATCATATCTTAATATAGTATATAAATACTTTCAAAATTTAGAAAAGATCACGGGATGAATGTATCAGTATGTCAATATGTCTTAGCACTAAATGCTAACATCAACAATCTCTAGACAATATTCTAGGCTCTAAAACTCGACGGCCATTCAGCCAGATCACAAGTGATTAATCACCAAACGCTGGAAATAGGAGGGATTAACTATTCTATAATAAATGAAGAAAACATCCTGGCTGGTGTGGATATTGTTCAGCAATACATTCAAAGTTTTCCTTTCATTACTTATGCAGATAAAGATAAAGAGCGTTCTAAATTGAAAAAATAATTGGCTAGTGACAACTTTCGGTAACTTGAGATATAGGTTCGATTCGGTTTATAGGAATCGCTAATTATGAACGATCGTGATTAGTCTAATACTATTGGAATCTATCATGAATGCGACAGAACCTTAGAAAACAATCAGCTGAGCAAAAAAAATTGATATCAAATGAAGACAAAATTAAAGTGGAACGACTCTATAGATCCATTGGTTAAACATGACCTTGAGATACAAAAAACAGTAAACTAAAAGTGGTAAAAACCAACATGAAAACAGCAAAAACTGTGCAAAAATATGAACCATAAAAACTGTACTTGAGATCACAATTAAAGGGGAAGAAAATTAACATTTATTAACAAAAATAGAATATCCTATGATCTTAACATAAACTTGATAGTAAAGAAATGGTAGTTACAGAACATGATAAAAGTTAAGAAAAGCCTCTTACCCCAGACTTAGAACCATTCTCATTAGGGTTTGCAAGATGATGATGTTTATGAAAACGACGAGGTAATCTATTGATACGATGACTTGCAGCGCGTCTTCGTAAACGAACAGGCAATCGTTGAAGTCCAGTAAGTGCAGTGCTAGTTAAAACATTGACACTAGATTCAAAAGATGCTAATTCAGCTCCACGTACTGTAGCTAAACGCAATACATCAAAACAAGCATATTGTGAATATGTTGATTCTGGTAAGTCATTTATGGGTTTAAAATCCATAATATTGCAATCTGCATTCAATGTAAAGAATAATACAAGATAATATCAATTTTGGAAGTAATTTTTTAAACCGAAAAAGAAACACAATACAATAACTTATTGATAAAACATAAATTCAAGTATATAGAACCATTGTAGTTCTCGTTTTTTTTATGTGTAGGCTAAAGGAATTATCTGGTTAACTAAAAAACAAATTAGCGAACTTAAATGTTTTACATTAAACTACAAAATTTTTGAGTTCTAATTCATTTTTGTGTTGCTTGTTTGAATCTTACCAATGATATTTAGGACTGCAATTGGTCAGTCTTTTATTGGCATATGTGAATCCCGTGTGGATTGCATCAATATTGCCTTAAGTCACAAACATTATAAGATGAATGGTGATTAGCAGTGCAATTCACGACACATGTTTAATCTTATTTGGGAATCGTCATAATCATAATTTTCAAATAATACATACAAAGATATATTCAAATGTAGTGCAGTGTAATTATATGAAAAAAAACAATTACTAGTATAGGGGTTGTGGAGATTATTAAGTTTTTGATTGAGAGCATGAACCGATTGATGTTAGACCACCTTTGGAAACCTGGAAGCACTGGACGAAAGTTGATCGCGCAATTTCGTGGATTGGTTGATGTTAGACACTATCACCACTGGATGCCGACTCAGTGGTCCAGTAGGTTAAACGTTCGCGCGCGAGACCGAAGGCCCTGGGTTCGAATCCCGCGAGCGGGATCATGGGTGCGCACTGCTGAGGAGTCCAATAATAGGACGAAACGGTCGTCCAGTACTTCCAGGTTTCCAAAGGTGGTCTAACATCAATCGGTTCATGATCTCAATCAAAAAAGCAATTGTAGTTATCATAACATTTATGCTCTTTTTATATTACAATGAAAGTATGTTGTGAATTAAAATAAATAATTGGATAGGTTATTTCATATACATTGTCTAATAAGACTTTCCAATAATTTCATAGATATATCATTATTGAAATTCAACACCAAATATTACGCAATAATAGTAATAAATATGAAATTGTAATGGATGCTATTAATTCTTATTCAGGAAGTAAAATGGTTATTAATCATGTTAGATGAATCAATAAGTTGAAAAGGGTAAAACTAGATATATGATAGAATGTGAATTATAATACACATTAAACTTACAAACCGTACATAAAAATATATATAGTAGGTGTATACCAAAAGATTATGTCATCTAAGTAGTAGTTGGAAATAACGTCCAATTGAAATTCTGACAATTACATAATATAATCTCGTCTATTTAAAAATAATAATTCACTGATAAATCAAACACCTATTCATAATGATTTACAAAACATGAGAAACTTTTTCTTACTCATTACCATATAAGGCTTATCATATCAAAGAATGCTTCCTATTACCGATATAATATATTAACTATCACATTTATCATATGAATTATAACGCAACTCATGCAATAAAACAAGTTAATTGGTGAAAATATTGTATATCGTAAAAAATTACAAGCGTTTACATGATATGCATACATAGTCTTCGATCATCCATTTGCATCTTGCAGTGTTCTGCAATCCAAACTATCGTCTCGTCTGGATATCAAGTGTTTTTTTCTTACTCTGAGTTCTCAATGTACTGAAAACTTTCTGTGATAACTTCGACATCACATTCAGCTACATACTACTTACAAACAATCCTGTGAACAGCGTCCACTACAATGTGACTGAGTAGTGAATTGATAATGAAAAAAAGTCTGTTTAGTAGAAATCAACAATCTAGATTATTGGTCGGAGAGGTAGAAATTATCCTGTAAGCTTATAGTATGGGAATGAGCGTGGAAAAAAACATGTAAAATTTTAGGCCGGCTTTTAATCGATTAGAATAGTATCGCTAAATGTAAACAAATTTGGCATAAATAATGGACTGATTAACACGTTCCCCAGGTTGCTATGTCCGTAAATACAGAATAGAAACGACATTTTTGTAGCCCGCTGATCTGACACCGATTTGGATGAATGTACGATGCTATTAACATAAATCTTCCATTTAACTCTGTATATTACCCAGGATAACCCCGTTTGTGTGATGGAGGTAGAAAGAAGTTAAATAGTAGTTACGTTGGAGGGATTTATTTCAAGTGCTCGTTTATCCAGACACAAATTCAGAATAGGAAGCGGAAAGTCAAGCGAAGAAGGCGAATGAGCCAACTCCATCTGACCAAGTGTAACTCAATATTTATAGTCAGACTAAAATAGGCTACAGATATGTAATGGATAGGATAAGAAATGCACATACATACACTCACATAGAAACAATCAAGGTTTATAAGCGAATGAACGACAACTTCAAAATGTGACTAAAGGAGAATGAATAAATTGGTCCATCCAGAAGCCAAAATAGCACATATGGGCTTGACATGGTACTAGACACTACATCCTTATGGGCATAGATTGTCCTTCTTCTAGAAATCTTGATGTTACCTAAATAAATTTTTAAAAGTACCCAGATTTAGGGTTACGGTTTCCATCGCGAAGTGACATCAGCTATGATGAAAAAATGAGAAGTAGCCTTACAGGCGAATGAATTTTACGCGAAAACGCAAGGGCCACTGTTTGATTTGTTCGTCCATAAAACAGAAAACCATCAGGTAATGATTCGTTCCAGAATTAAAGATTTACAGGTAGGATTGAATGATAATGTTGACCTGTCCGTTATACACAATATGCAAAATAATAATATACCGTTTGGAAAGTTGTGGCAATCATCTTTTTATACTACAATGGTAAAAAATAATTTTTCGTTATTATTTTGGACGATTTGAGCAGTATATAAAGGTATCTACTGTTTGTCATACGTGATGATTGGATTTCCCCTGCAAGCCTAAAAGTTATATCCTCGTGTGACTGGTCGTTGTTATTCTATACTCTTACGATATTTCCTACTTCAGATTTCGATTTATTCTGGTCTGTCGTCAGAACAATATAATTGGATAAAATATTTTGTTGTTTAACCAATCACCAAAGTCTATTTATTCATTCTATCATTGTTACTTTGCTTGAAAATGGATATAGAGTAATTTCTGATAAACATTAACAATCCATTCTGGGGGTAGGAATCATATGTATTACCGATTCGTGCAATACCATTACAAAGCCATTCAGGTTATCGTATTACAGCTTGGATATGCCAGTTGATTTAGTATTACCGTTCTGTTACATATATCTTAGCTAAAACAAGACATACACCGGTAGCATAAGTCTCCAAGGTACATTAAACTAATGTTCTGTCGGAAATCTATTTCTATAGCTTTGACATTTTTGCTGATTGACTTCGATATAGCTTTTCAAGAAAAAAGTCGATGTTACCATTATGATGAAAATGGTTTTTTACAGTATCCAAAACCAGACATTATGTCTAAAGATTTCCTTAAGGTAGTATAAAAATTATCGAAAACTTGAGCTTCATCGAAAACAATTACACAAATCAGAATGTTATATATTATTTCATGTTGATCTGAATGAAGTTGGATGTTAACTATAAGATACTACCAATTATGTGATCACTTTTCCTCTATAGAATTACAATGACAGAGATCAGATAGGCAATGATAATAATTTTTTTAAAAACCTAACTTAATAGTGCTTATTATTAAAACTTTCAAACAAGTTGTAAATTAGGATGGTCTTAAAAACCGCTTTAGTGCAAATTTACCAATTTCGAAATGTGACTGTCATAATAGACTTGACTGATACCAAGAAACATTTTTGAAATAAATTTACCTTTAAGTTCGACTGGAAAGTATACGTATATTTCTTTACTAAAGCACATTGAAATGAGTAAATAAGAAGTATTACAATCTAGAAATAATCTTAATTATCAACCAAGAACACAATCTAATTCACTATCTCATTATTAACCAGGATATATTAAGCATTTTTAAACTTGGATTTTAAGGCTCTTCATAATTGTCACTATTTTAATTAGGTTTATATGAGAATGAATTATGAAGTCTATGATATGTATATTATTGACAAAATCAATAGTTACAGTTGCTATACATCTGTTAGATAACTCATTAACAAGTATATAAAACACAAAATCACTTGCAATCGACTCTTCAATAAGGAATATTTAGTGTAAACTACTTAATTAATGAATAATAGATGAAAACCTGTTTGAATGTTTTAGAAGGAAAACACATTCGGGAATATTCTTCATGTTTCATCATTTGAGTTTAGTTTCAAGCGGCATAAAATATAAGTAATATATTAGTACAACGAAGCAAGATATAAATCATTTATCAAGTTATCTGTAGTACGTCTTAACTTCATGCTGTCCTTCAACGGTGTGGGCTAATGAAATTACCTGGCTGTCCACATCAAAGTAGGTGGAGTGGGGTTCAAACCCTAAACTTGTTGATTCAAAGTCAAATGACATAACGGCTGATCCGATGAAGATTTAGTAGAACTGTTATTCAAACCTATAATCATTCAAACTGGCGTCTGAAATTAGATCCATAGAACGCTCGAATACTCGAGTAATTTCATTGAATTTTGTGTGCAGAAGTAAAATTTGAACTTGAACAAAAACTATGATTCGGTTAAGAATCAATCTAGCCTAAGCTAAAGAAATATATTAAGGATTGAACAGGTTTATAACCAATAACCGATTTGTGAACCCATTTTTAACCCAATCACTTCACTCAACCATAATATCTTGGTGCTATTATAGATTTAGCTTAGTGTATTTTGATCAATAAAATCACCGATATTAGTGAATATATTATGTCTTCATGTTGAATAGTTAAAACCACTTTTCTAGATTTTCGATTGTCAACAATCTATGAAACCAAATTATGTCATTTATTGAGAAATACAACATATTACCAGTCATATATTGACAATTGGAAAAAAGAAAACATTTACAAGTTCGCTGTAGTAAACTAGTCGTAAGTGAGCATGTAAGATAGTCGAGTTTCATGTTAGTTGGAAGTGGCTACATAGAAATCATCAACAAACTTAAATAACAACCTTTTTAGTAATAATTTCATTACGACACTTCGATCTAGAAAACGCAACAAACTTAAAAATGTTAAAAAGCCATCACAATTAAGAATTATTATCCTAATCTTAACGATGGTATAACACATCATACATTCAACAGACATTAAACTATTTCAACGTACACAGTAAATGCAGTTTATAATGACTAAACATACTAGAGAGAAGACTTTATATGTCTAGAAATATCAATAGAACCTAAAAAGGGACAATACAAGCGTACAATCAAACAACTAGAAACTCGTTGAGATTGAAAGGCAAATCAATGAATGAAAAAGACAAACAACGTGGACAAATAGTAAACAACGTTTATTTTATTTTGCAATTCTAATTCACTTTTATTATATGTAATTGTGTCTGCATTATATACTACTGATAACGATCATCATAGCAGTAGTATTCACATAACGATAAATAATATATTCATAGTTACATCAGTCATTTAAGATGAGAAATAGAGAGAAAGGGGAAAAAAGGACACATGGAAAAGACGAAAATCCACACAATAAATTGATTATAAAGACATTCCAAGTCGTTCATTGAAAGATGAGAAATTTTTTCAAAAAGGCGTCAAATATAAGGTTCACTAAAAAACGGGAAAAAAACTAAAGTTCATAATTTAGAGAAGATGAAACTAAATTTTGTTGTTCTGATAAAATGACGTTTTAATTTTGTCGTTTTTTAAAAAAGAAATCGAAACATATGACTAAATGTTGCAGTTGTGTTTTCTTCGTGGAAAAACGATGTACAGTGAGAATCGTTACACAATTATTCAGTCGTCTCCTCAAGTGTTCCCACCGTATACCGGACATTTCAGAACGAAAGACGTATTGACATAAACAAACAGGTTCATACATTGACAGATGAATGGACAGAAAAAAGCTAAACTAAATTCATCGAAGAGATGTGTCATATTTATTATTATTATTATTATTATTATTATTATATGGTTTAATCAGCTGACTAATTCATTTGATCAACTGAATACGTAAATCATATGTACGTTTACATTGTTACAAATATGATGAGTGTAGATCATTACGTAAACGTGAAAACATTGTGTTGATCTTCTGTTTCTTTGTATAGTTATCATTTATTTTTTGGTATAACAAATACTGATAAACTTCACTGTATATGTAATAATTTGAGCAGATTTTATGAAATTATAATTGGTGTCTGCTGCCAATATATATGTAAGTATGTGCAAAAAAATCATGTTATTTATAAGTAAGTAGGTGTTTATATATGTTGAACCTACTATTAAACATTGATGATAAACAAACAAGGTTGGCAGTACACATTCGATCAAAAAAATATGATAAAATGTTGACTGAATTTCAAGAAAATTTGCTACAAATTAAAAACACACAAGTAATTGATTAATAATTCCCGTATCCTTTCGAGGAAGAGAGAAAGAGAAATTCCGTAAGTAACCAAAAAAGATAAACTATAGGAAATCGAAAAAAGAAGAAGGAAGAAAGTAGTCCACCAATGATAAAACAAAGTTGTGGAAAGGATAAGGAGAAAGAAGGAGAAGACAAGATGGATTTATGACATTCCAAATCCTTTACAATGTGTTATCGCCAGTAATAATGATTGTTGTAATTTTTCCAAACTTTGATATTCCGGCAATAAAAGAATGTTGAAACAAGTATGAGCAGATGGTAATCTGAAATGAAAGAAATCACAATAATGGAAACAAAGTGTACACATACACAAAATGCCTACACATAACCACAATTTTAAAAAATTGTTTAGAAAAAACATGTTGCAAACAAATGCATTACTGAATGAATTCAAGAGAGATATCTTCAGGAGAAAATTTATTCATATGACAATATGATGTCACTATGCATGATAGTTGTGTGCTACCTATACTATTCGTCTAATATAATGTTTCTGTACCGAAAACCTCAATCTAAAAATTTAATTATCAATGGCGGGATGCAATTGTAGAAGGACTCCTGATCAAAATACCGATGAAAGGCGATCTCAGCAAGTGTGATAACTACAGAGGCATCACTCTTCTCTCAATACCGAGAAAAGTCTTCAACAGGGTATTGTTAAACAGGATGAAGGACTGCGTAGACGCCCAACTTCGTGACCAACAGGCAGGATTCCGTGAGGATAGATCGTGTACAGACCAAATCGCAACTCTACGGATCATTGTGGAACAATCAATTGAATGGAATTCATCACTCTACATCAACTTCATTGACTACGAAAAGGCATTTGATAGCGTGGACAGAACAACACTATGGAAACTTCTTCGACACTACGGCGTGCCTCAGAAGATAGTCAACATCATACAGAACTCATATGATGGATTACACTGCAAAATTGTGCATGGAGGACAGTTGACAAAGTCGTTCGAAGTGAAGAACGGTGTTAAGCAAGGTTGCTTACTCTCAACCTTTCTCTTTCTCCTGGTGATCGACTGGATCATGGAGACGTCAACATCTGAAGGGAAGCACGGGATACAATGAACATCTAGGATGCAGTTGGACGATCTAGACTTCGCAGATGATCTGGCCCTTCTATCCCAAACGCAACAACAAATGCAGGAGAAGACGAACAGTGTGGCAGCAGCCTTAGCAGCAGTAGGTCTCAATATACACAAAAGGAAAAACAGGATCCTCCGATACAACACAGCATGCACCAATCCAATCACAATTGACGGAGAAGATTTCGAAGATGTAAAAACCTTTACATATTTGGGCAGCATCATTGATGAACACGGTGGATCTGATGCATATGTGAAGGCGCGCATCGGCAAAGCAACAGCAGCATATTTACAATTGAGGAACATCTGGAACTCAAAGCAACTGTCTGTCAACCAACACCAAGGTCAGAATTTTCAATACAAATGTCAAGACAGTTCTACTCTATGGGGAAGAAACCTGGAGAACTACGAAATCCATCATCCAGAAAATACAGGTGTTTGTTAACAACTGTCTACGCAAAATACTTCAGATCCGTTGGCCGGACACTATTAGCAACAACCTAATGTGGGAGAGAACAAACCAGATCCCACTGGAGGAAGAAATCAGGAAGAATTGCTGGAAGTGGATAGAACGCACATTGAGGAAAGCACCCAACCGCGTCACAAGACAAGCACTCACATGGAATCCTCAAGGCCAAAGGAGAAATGGAAGACCAAAGAACACATTACGCCGGGAAATGGAAATAGACATGAGAAAAATGAACAGGAATTGGATGGAACTAGAAAAGAAGGCCCAGGACAGAGTGGGTTGGAGAATGCTGGTCGGCGGCCTATGCTCCATTGGGAGTAACAGGCGTAAGTAAGTAAGTAAGGGATACAATTGTGAGAAAGCCCTAGACGACAAGGACAGTGTGTATGTGGGATTCTAACCACCGTTACGAAGTACAATATTCAGGCGGGATATCCCTGTGAGATTCTCAGTCGCTTACTAATCACTTGTACGATTGATAATCATTTTCACATTTTAATTAGGTACTTCGACAGTTTCAAATGAATGATAAAACAGATTACTAAAGAGAGAAGAACTTGCAAAAAAATTGTGGGTTTCTTTAAAGTAAGAATCTGTGACAATAAAATGTAGACATTTATGACAATGTTTATTCAGAAAATATTCATAGTTTAATTTGATTCACCTTAGCAAGAAGTAGTGGCAAAATAGATTCATCACATAATTATGAGTTTCCGATAAAAAAAGTTTTATTAACACTCTGATATAGGTTAAAGCATTAAAACGTAAAGGCAGATGAGTTACAACCAAAATCCAATATCACAACACCAACTTTGGATTTAGTTAAGTATTGTCATTATCAATTATACATGAATACAATGGATTGTACTAGATAAGTTACGGTATATTATTGAATTAAAATATTTATAATAGTATTCTAATTTTTATTCACTATGTGATACATGGAACTCATAAAGTTTGTTTTAGCAGATATGAATGTGATAATACGCAAAAACACTCATATTTAAGGTGTTGTTTAATTCTTTGAAACTAACAAACAAGAATTTCACTTTGTAATTAATACAAATGCCTACATCTAAAGAGGCTAATTGGTAGAGTAGAGGGTGAACATTTAACTTGTATTTCGTGGACTTTTGATAATGTATTTAGTACGATGATTAGCAAACTGGATACTAAAATGAATCTGCCATGTGAAAAATCAGTTGAAAACAGAAGATTAAAGTTGATAATAGAAATAGAAAAAAAATTATTAGATAGTAAAAAAGAACTTGATTGTGAACAAGGTGATCTCAAGTGCTGTGAAAGGCACGACAACAGTTATCACTGCCGGGAGGCCAACACCATGAAAGCATGATTTTACTTGAGGATCCTGAAAATGGAACTAAGTTGGTACTGATCTTGACGATCCAGGAGCAGGACAACTAAGTTCAAGTAACGACTCCTTGAGAGGCGTTTATGTATCACTCTTCTACGAACAGTTTCACATGTTTTGGCTCCACACTCATAAGACCCTATCGCTCGCTAGCAATAGCGATTTGTAAGGTAATGTGAGGAATATTAATTTTACAGTCTGCTTTATCTGATTCCCTCTTTCTGTTGTAAATAGACAGAATAATTGAAGATACAGATTGTTTACAGAAAATGCTATGTCGTCAAAAATCTGTGCAGTGGGCAGAACTATTCCGCATTCAGATTATGAATGTGTTGCTTTTTAGCCCACATAAGTGGCATGTTATTACCTAAATGAATGAGTGTTCCAGTTAATATGTGGTGCACGCTACTTATGTCTGTCGATATAATTAGTATGTAACACCATCAGAAGTGATATACCTGTCAAAAGAAGAGGGAGAAGATTGAATTGAAGAAAACAGAAAGGGAAACACAAAGCAACTGAGAATTGGAAGAATCATAAAGGACGTAAAGGACAACTGATGGAAGATTTGCAAATGAAGTATTTTTCACAACTTACGAAAGAACTCTGTAATTTTGCAGTAGGCAATAAATTGGTTATCCCAACCAAGTCTTCGTCCACTTCAAATATAATTCAACTGAGTCACTGCGACATATAAGTTTAACTACCACGTTAAGCCAGCAGCTAATATTAGGTCGAGTATAATTGCTATGTCAACAATTTCAATCATACATTTGAATAACCTGTTAATTGTTTCAAATTCTAAATATTTAAAATTAACTACTAAAATTCGAATTTACAAATGGAAAAAGAAAAATAAATTATTTATAAAGTAATTGGTAAACAAAATTAATTTACCTATTAGTATCAGAACCTTGACGTGCTATAGTAAATTTCATTTTTGACATACCACCAACTGGTACACGATCAGAACCAGTAGAAAATTGTAATAATTGTTTTTTTTGTTCTTTAGTCATTGAATGTACTATAGACCAGAAATTTTTAATTACAGTTGAATCAGATGTATATTCTTCATATGTAGTGACTCTTTCTAATTCATTAAAATCATATACCTATTAAAATGATATATGAATTGTATAATTTGTTTAATGAAGAAAAATGTAAATGAAAAAATAGAATTTTAAAAAGGATCAAAATTGAAGTATGTAAACTGTCTTGTTATATCTCAGTGATAATTAATAAAAAAACAAGTATTACAAAATGATAATAATAGGTTAGACTTCTAAAAATCAAAGCTAATCAAAGGTGTTGGATAGATGAAGGTTTGTCAGCAACAATTCCTGGTACTAGATTTCATATTAGTTGTGACTCTTCAACAAAGCGTATCTACAATCTTCACAGAAATGTTTCCTATAGGATTCAAACCAGTAATGTCAATTTCTTTAGACTAGTGACCACATACTACAACCTGATCTATAGACTTTGAACAGCACTGAAAAACGACTAGGCAAATATGATAAGAACCAATATTCACTGATCAACCCTAATGAAAGTGTAGATGGATAATGCATTTATTGTGAATTGACTTAATAACAATCAACATTATCAATGCATTTCAATAGTTGTTAATTCCTGCTATACGTTCAATTTCCAATAGCAAACCGACAAGTTTGTTATACAGTCAATGATATATATAGAAACATGAACATTTTAAATATATCATTATATGTTTCATACAAATTATTATACTTACTGGGCTTCCACGAACAAGTAGCTCTAATTCATCTGGACGAAATAAAAATGTTAATGGGCTTTCATCAACAACCATTTGAAAACCTCTTCGAAAAGCATTGAATTGTTTTTTAACCGAATCATTCAACAAGAAACTTGAATACAAATCTACATATTCCTTAATTTTAATTTTAACACAAAAGAATAAGAGGTTTTTTTAAATAAAAATACTTATTATGAACAAATTATAAACTACATATAATAATAAACATAATGATAATTAATTACTTTTTAATTGTGTATTAAATCTAACATGACAATGAAATACTCTAAGCTAGAAATATAAATTTGTAATCCAGAGTCAGTCAATCATGTATAACCTAGAAAATGGCACATATATAGATTGGTTCAAGTTGCTACTACACCACAACAGCATAACGAAATGAAATTATCAAGACATATGAGAAATTAGCATAAGTAATAACAGTACCAGTGGTAAGTGAAAACGTTAGGTGTGATTCTAAACATACTGTAAATGTTTCCTTATTTAAAATAGTCAACTAGAAGATAGCATGGGTAATAAGTCTTTTAGTTAAATATTATCTAAATTAGGTGCAATTTTTAAAGTTAATAACTAATATTGTTACGTTGATACTGATGTTCAACGACATGGCCTAACCATTTGGAAGCTAGGTTATACCATTACCATTCTTGAAGAATTTACAGAAATTAAATAAAGTTCGCTGGATATCAACCAAATAGATAAATAAATATTAGTGATACGCTTAGTCTTACAGGAACTTTGATTCAATGATAATAAATCTTAAAAAGGTATGTAATGTTGATGTGATTAGGGATATCAAGTTTCGCAACCAACATGATAGCAATAAGCTATAAGTGTCCTGAATTTACTGAATTAGTCAGATTTTTAATTGTATCATTCTCGAATGCATCTATCAGTTCACCTGCTCTTGTAAAGCGATGAACATGAGCTGTAGCTAGCGTTCGCTTTTAACTCCGTTACGAAAACATATTCCAGTGTGGTTCTACAAAAATAAGACGAAAGTGGTAACGAATTCTGTCCCTGAAAATCTAACCGATTCCGATCATACAAATGATTCACAGGTTCATCATAGAATTCGTTCAAATCTAACAAGATATTTCGGTATTCGACTCGGTGAAAACAGCCTAGAAGCTCTTGGCATTCATGAAATGAAGAACAACTTGTTGTCTTTACTGTATCCGTGAACTATTATTATCATTACCATTTATCCACTTATTTTATTTTCATTTCTTTGATTATACATATAAAAATATTCCTTTTTCTCGCCAACTATTTCTCATGATCCCATTATTTTATTCATAATCCTTTCTGACATCACCTCATTACATTCAATATCTCTAATACCTTCATTCATTGTAACAAAAGTATTTTGATTATCTTAATTCAATTAGATTATAATTTATTGTTAGCTTATTAATTTTATTTATTTGCATATAAACAATCTTGTATTGTTATTATATACAATAAATAATCCAAAATTAAAACCCTTCCATTACATCATCATGTTTATTCATAATTCATATGTCCTTATGGAACTAATACTTAAAATCCCATATATATATATATATATATATATATATATATATATATATATATATATATATATATATATATAATAAATTTGTTGAGAAGAGATTCTTAAACTGAACTGTGCATTTTTACTTCTCAAGTTGCACAATCCCCATAGGTCCATCTTATATTTACATCCTATTCAGTCATTCATTATAGTTACAATATTCAACTTACATGGTTGATATTGATTAATCTATTTACTTTTGTAAGTTTTAATCTCATTACCAAATCAAAACTTTCACTCTCTTTCATTTAATGATTATTATCCAATAACGGAATCTTAGTTCAGAAATGAGTCTTATTCTTAACAAACTGTGAGTAACAATTTTTATTCATGTAAATATCATACTGTTAAGTCTTTGTAGAGTTTCAGAAAAATATCGCTGAAAAGAAAAACATTTCGCTTAAGTTTGTTTAAT